CACTCAGTTGGCACCTGCCTTGTGCCTGCTCTTGCTAGACAGAGCTGGTCTGATGGAGTCACACCTCTGCTTCCTTCCTGCCAGCCAGGGCCTCGGCCAGCTGGGCCGCAAAGCCTCAGCTCATCTATAAAACCGAGCACATGGCTTTTCATGTCTTGATCACACTTGCTACCACCCTGCCCAGTCATTCATTGGTTGAGAGGGAGTCTCATGGACCGCCTTTTGCCTTGCCCGGCCTTTACTTCCCAAATAGTTAGGTTTACAGACTTGGCCCCTGCTCTCAGCTGTCTTTGTCCCTTTTATTTTTTGTTGTTGTTAAATTTAAATATAAATATAGTCATGTAAGAACTCAAACAAGGCATACGCCTAGATACACACAGGCATATTAACATCCTCAGATGCTTCCAGAGATAAGCCCTCATGTGTACATCTCACTCAGATGTATATTTGTGCACAAATGCACCACACACTCACACATGCATACACATGTATTCTCTCAAAATACTTGCTACAGAGCTGGGTGTACCAGTGGTTTATGTCTGTAATCCTAGCTAGCTACTCAGGAGGCTCAGATCTGAGGATTGTGATTCAAACCTAGCCTGGGCAGGAAAAGTCTATAAGATTTCAATCTCCAGTTAACCACAAAAATAATCCCAAAGTAGAAGTATGGCTCAAGTGGTAGGACATCAGCCTTCAGTCAAAAGGTTAAGGCACCCTCCCAAGTCCTGAATGGAAGCCCTAGTACTGGCTTAATTCTACAAAGTATCGTGTGTAGCACTAGGAAGGGGTGCTCAGGACTAAAAACCAGAATGAAAACCTGTGTTTACCCTTATGAGATACTCTCATCTTCTAGAAATCTGATTGGTTCCTTTTGCTTCATGTGGTAACGTGCCAGGGTGTCTGCTTGCTTTCATATAAAGGGTTCTTTCATGCCTCCGTCTGACAGCCAGATGGGGGCACAAATGGCCAGAGGGGAGGGAGGTCATAACCAGGTTCTCCCGAGGGAGCTGCAGGCAGGCAGACAGGATATTGGGACTCCCCACTTCCCCCCTCACCTTCCCCCTCCCCCCGCTCTCTGTGTGCTTGCTACTGCAGGATCTTCTAGGAGAGGATTTTATTTCATTTTTTTAATTTAATTTTATTTTATTTGTGAACATACTGTACAGAGGGGTTACAATTGCATGGGCAGGATAATGCGTACATTTCTTACCAAGCATTGCAGCCTCCTCCTTTGTTTACCCTTCCCATCCCTTCCCAGCCTCCCCCCTCCCCCCCATCCCAATCCTTCTCCTTCCCCCCTCCCCCCACCCCCTTCCCCCCCACCCCCCCATTTTATTTCATTTTTAAAAATACCTTAACTCCTGTGGCTCAGCTGATTGTACCATGATTGCACATTTCAATGATCAAGCTGGCAGACCTGGGTTTGGATTCCTTTGTTTGACCTTTGTCATCACTTTGCTTATTACACAGTCTCTCTGTGCTTAGTCTTGGCATCTGTCAAATGGGTACAACAACCCCGCTGATTGTCAGGAAGGAGCTGAAGATCCATCAAGCTGTGTCAAGTGTTCTGAGTAGTGCTTGCCTAGTGCCATGTGAAGTACCTGCCACTTTCAGGTCACATGAGCATAGGGATGATAACAAAGCAAAAATCCTCCTTTCATTTCTGCAGGCATCCAGTTCCTCAGGAAATATGGATTGAATTCTTCCTGTGAGCTGGAAATGCTGGAAGGACCCAGGAGTAGAGTAGTTATTGTGATAAACGAATGAAAAAAATTACTGCTTAACATTATAGATGAAGATCATGGCTGGTGCCAGTAATTGGTGGCTCAGACCCATAATCCTAATAGTGTGGAGGCTGAGCTTAGGAGACTCCATCTCAAAGGAAGAAACTGGGCATCATGGTACCTGACTGTCATCCCATCTGCCCGAGGAAACGAAAAACAGGATTGCAGTCTAGTCGTGAGCCAGCGCAGGGAGTGAACCCTATCATGAAAATAACCAGTGCAAACCTGGGCTGGAGGCATGGATCAGCAGTAGAGTGCCTCTCTAGCGAACTCTAAACTCTGAGTTCAAACCCTAGTATTGCCTGCCCCCCCAGAAAAATGTTCAAAAATTATAGCTGGGAGTTTGAAGAAGGGCTCTTTTGGGCCTAAACAATTGAAGTAGGATAAGGAAGTAAGAAGGTTCGTAGGTCGGTTGGTTTGGAAACACCTCTGAGGTTAGCCAGGCAAGAGGCAGGAAAGCATTCGTTCTTATATAAAGGAATGGGCTGGCTTTAGTCTCAGCCTTGGGAGGCAGTGCTTGGAAGCTTGTTTGGTAAGGTAAGTGGGGCAGAGGCCAGCTTCCACAGGTTCTGTGGCCTGGAGAGAGTTTGGAGTTTTATTCTGAGGTGAAAAGGAAGATGTTCTGGCTCATGAAATTTGTGGGAAGCATTCTGATGTCACTCAAAATGCGTGCTCCCTTGGCCTCATGAAGGAGTGCAAGCCAGAGAGAGCGCTCCTGATTCACGCTCTAAATTCAGTTCTTTGTTGGGTGGCAGATGGATTGCTGTGAGTGACACAAGACCAGGGAACGTATCTCAGAAGTATGTGTAAGGGCTCATGAATTTGGGTGCCTGGGTAGACTTGACCAGCAGAGTGGTGGTAAGAGGAGGAAATGGAGGCCCGCAGGGCTGAGCAGATTGTTCACCGGCAGCCAGACTGAAGCTGAAGGTGGGTCCACAGCCATTGCTGCTGTCCTGTCAAGTTAGATGCCCTAGGGCCCAGGTGGCAGGGAGGTAGGGGGTGCATAGTACGGAGAGGCACACAGCCAGGAGATCACACCACAGCCCAGCTCAGCTCCACCTGCTAATCCTCAGAGGCGAGTGCCCACCTCTAGAGCAGGTGCTGCCCACTTTGACCTTCCTCCTTCTCTTGGCCTCAGCCCAGCCTCCAAGGACAGCCTTAGGGAAGGAGTTTGAACTGAGAGCCTTAAGTTTGCCAGACAGGCCCTCTACCGTGGAGCCATACCTCCAGGTTTGCACTGGTTATTTTGGAGATACGATCTCGCTCCCTGCTCTGGCTCATGACTAGAGTGCAATCCTCATGTTTTTGTTTCCCCTGGTAGGTGGAGTGACAGACAACATACCACTGTGCCCAGAGTCTTCCTTTGAGATGGGGTCTTGCAGACTTTTTGGCTAGGCTGGCTTGGAATCACAGCCACACCGGCTGTTCCTCTGTGAATCCCATCAGCCTCACCAAAACCATTTCCTGGGCAGCCTGTGTCCTTCCCAGGAGTATAGCTTCACCTGCCCCCCTGCTCCCCCCAGGCAGAGGACCTGGAGAAGATGTCTATCTCTGTCCTGGGACTTAGGACCCAGGAAAAGAAGCCCAATCTTGCCGTCTGCTCCTGCTTAGTGATTAGGAGGCCTGGCTAGGTGGAGATCTGACTTCAGCGTCTGCCCTTTGATGAAGCTCTAAGCCTCCTGTCTCCGCTCCTGCCTTTGCCACTGGGGCTGATTCTGGGGACATGACCCTGGTATGCCTGACCCCAGGGCACATGCTAATGGAGACAACGTGGTTGAGACAGAAGCAATAAATACCACCCTATCTCATTTGCCTGTCTTCCTTCTGAGAACCACAGAGTCAGGAAGGAGGCAGGAACTCAGTGGGGAGGCACTGGGGTTCAGCTAGCCAGTCCTATGATTTGTGGGGATTGAGGAGGGAGCTGGTTTGTCCATCCTCGTGGATTGACTGGGGTGGTCAGCCCTGGGTCTGTCTGGAGGTCACCTCAGGCCACCCTTCCACTGCGTTGTCTTAGCTTCTCCTCCCACCTTTCCTGTGAACAGTCTCCCCTCCCCTTTGGGGCTGGAGAGAGACCCCATTGGCCCTCCTCCTTGTCCCTGTGCTGCACTGACAACAGGCTGCTGCTTTGATTCGGCCTTTGCCCATCTGCTGGGAATCTTGCGTTGGAGGAGAAGTAAGGAGTTTGGGTTTTGTGCTTCCTAGTTCTTACACAGCAGGCATCCTGCCCGGGGCTCATGCCATCCGGGGGAATCGCTGGGCCTAACACACGCGGCGCTGTGCTGCCAAGGGTCAGGGGGTGACGATGGCAGGCTGGGTGTGTTCAGCTTTTTGCTCAGCCTTCCACGGGTGAAATTTCCAGGAGAAGCAGAGAGGCCCTGCTGTGCGTGATCTGGGGGTCCCGAGTATCACTCTGGCCGCCCCTCCTCATCTCACCCGGTCCTCATCAGGATCTGAGGGTGGGCAGCAAGGACTCGTTGTTGGTTTTGGAGCTGTGTGGATGGCCTCAGCCCCTGCCACCCACAGAGAGCACTGAGCTCCGTCTCTGTGAGGACCGCCTGGGACAGGGGAGCTGGAAGTGTTTGTTTATCCCTGAGACCAGACCTGACATTCACCATGGCAGTGAACTTGGGTTCAAGGGCCCCACTGCAGACAGGAGGCCAAGCTTTAGGGTTTGACAGCAGTAGTGGTCACGTGTCACTGCCAATCGCCCCTACATATGAGGCGGAGGACCACAGTCACATCCTCAGCATTTGTCCTTCTGGGAAGGAGGTGATGTGTGCGAGGTGAGGCTCTGGAGGGCTGGGTCCTCTTTATTGAAATTGGAGTCCTACATGTAAAGCCAGAGGCCGGATGTTGGGGTCACTGGGACTTAACCTTGATCCCAAAGTCAGATTCTGTGTTGTCAGGATATTAGCTCCAGATGCAAGTACCTTCCTGGGTGGTTCTGTCCAGCTCGGCTCAGCTGTTTAGTTCCTTCCATTGTCTATCTTCTCCTGGAAAACTCCAGGGATTGGACGGCAGGTGGGAAGGACAGGAGGAGGGGCTGGTGCTGGGGAGGGAGACTCAGACTTGTGTGTTTTCCAGTAGCGTTCCCCAAAGGGCTTCTGCATCAAACTCCATTAGAGGATAACACAGCTGGGGCATTCAGAGCATCCTGAGGCCTGAGGCCCGGGAGGGAAGAGCTGGCTGATGAAGTCACTGTCCCTCCTGTCTCAGGCTGGCCACTACACCACCACCGAGGGCATCCGTGAGCCGTGTAGTGTCTTCCTGGAATGCTACGTCATCTGTCCATCGTGGGTTTCACGGGTTGCTCCTGCTGCTGGACCACTTGCTCCCCCCACCTCAGTCTTACTCTCCCCTGGCTTTCCCCTGGCTCTCTACCACCTCCCTGGATTCCCTTTGAGGTCCCTGTTGCCAGCTCCCATTTGTCGGTGTTGGAGATGCAGCCCTGGTTCACAGACCTCTTCTCTTCCCTTCTTCATCTCTGCGCCACCTCACCCACCCCCGATGCCTTAAATACCATCTCGGCATCACAGCCGCCAGGTCACCATCTCAGCCAGGACCTGGGTCTTGACGTCTGGAAGCCAGACGTGTGGTTCCATGGGCTTCCCAAGCATGTGGGAGACTACTTGCTGGCCTCGGCTTCCACCCTGCCTTTTCAAGATCAAGGTCCCTGGATGGGTGTCCGATCTTACTGTGGCCCTTTATAGCCTCATTCCCAGAGCCTTATCTCCCTCTCTCGTCTCATTCTTGGTCTTCCCTTTGCTGACCTTCCTCCAGCCAGGTGTCTACACTTCTCCCACTTCTAAACCTTGGTGTGGACCTCCAGCGGACCACGCTGCCATCACTTCCTCCTAACCTCGGTTGAGCCACTGCGGCCTTCCACCCTCACCTGGCTGTTGCCTTAGCTCTTTCTGTTCCTATCTTCCATCTTGTCTTCTGGACCATGGCTCCCTGAGGACCAAGAGCGTGTTCTTTTGCGCATGCCTTCATTCCCAGTTGATTGATGGATAAACTCAGTGCCTGGCACATATCCGGTGTTGGTAATGTCAAATGTGAGAAAGGAGGTTTGGTTGTGAAAGGTGTGCCATTTCTTGGGTACCACGGGCTAACTAAGAGCTGCAGTCATGCTGGGCAGAATGAGCCAAGATACCTTTGCACCCTGTGGCACTTGCGCTGGCTGAGGGTTCTGATATCCTCTAGGGTCTCAGTGTACCCCCATCTCTTCCTGCCTCTCCCGGGAGAGACTTCACCGTCTCTGCTCAGTTCCACTGGCACTGGACCACATGACTTCTCCGCAAGGGAGCCAGGCCTGGAACACCAGAGTCACGGATGACGGCTGCGTGTCTCACCATCCTCAGACAGTGACGCCAATGTAGTACGACTTCAACCAGCAGCACAGCGCTTTCTTCTTGGCTTCCAGTTGTTGCCCTCCTGGGCGCTGGTCTCTCCATGGTCCTGAATTTTGACCCCTGTCCTGGGATATAGGGCTCTCCATGCTTGGGTACATTCTGTCTCTTCCTTCTCCCTGTTCTGGCCACTCCTGGGAGTGTCTTGTGCCCAGCTCCCCTGATGAGCAGAGCCTTCTTAGCCTTGCTGTCTCCCTGTCTGCTGTGCTGGTCCTGCAGCTCCGGTGTCGCTCACCCCTGCGATCTCCAGGACCAGCTCGTGGAATGTCCACCCTGGCCCTTCCCCCATCGTGCTGCATGGCCTGGGGGCATTCTCCCCATAGCTTGAGGGACTCACCCTGGCTGATTTGTTTCTCTGCCCGCTTTCCTAGCACGGGGGTTGCGGGAGAGCGGGAGGCACTCCTGTGTGCTGACCTGGGTCCTCCTGCGAGAGCAGAGGCAGCGAGGCTGTGTGAGGAGCCAGCCATCGTGTCCAGACTCCCACTCACCGTATCCCTGGCCTCCCATGTGGGAGTAGACACAGAAGGGGTGAGGGAAGGTCTGTTGACTCCAGTGTCTCTCGGCCATGTGGGGATGCCTGGCCCTGTTTCAGCTTCTTCTTACCTATGAAGGAAGTGGCTCACACTGAGGCTGGGGGAGAAGAGCTCGTTTGTTAGTCTCTGGACGTGACTTATCCGCAGCTCACTGTAGAAAAGGCTCAGCCGTATCTCACGACCTGCCTCTGCCCTTACTCTGTCTGGCACCCTGGCAAAGGAGAGGAGGGGACCTGTGACCCAGGGTCGCAGCTATTGGGGAGATTTCTTTCAAGTACTGTTTTGCAAGCCAAATAGTACAGCAGGCTCCTGGAAAGCACTTGTATGAGAATGTGCCTCCAAACACTTCGTGCCCTGACCACCCCTCCACACAGCCTAGAGGGGTGGGAGATGTGGATCTCCTAGTCAGCGGCTTCTATAGAGGCCACTGGTGCCCATATACTTTGACCTAAGGAGTCTCTAGAATGTTCCAGATAATGAAGTAAAGGTTGGAATTGGGGAAAATACCCCATTCCTCTGACTCCTAGTTTTTCCTCTTTATCTGTACCATAGTCCTTGGCTGGAATCAGCACTCCTTCTCCATTTTACCCAGGAGATGCAGATGACCATGAGAATTTGGTCTCTTTTGACACAGAGACCATGGAGCCAATTGATGAACTGGCTTTTTGTTTGTTTGTTTTTAAAACTCCCAATGTGTTTGCTAAGGCTGAGATTGTATGGATAGCACTGGAGAGCACAAATGCCTAAGTCTGACTTGTGTCCGTCTCTGCCATCTGCTGGCTGTATTATATTGGATAAATGACAATGTCTCTGAGTTTGGGCTTCTTTCCCTATGCATAAACAAATGGATCTACAAGTTCAGAGCAAATCAGAGCAAATTCTACAGGTCTGCTTCAGGAGGTTGCAGGCTGGCTATCTGGGATGCAGGCTTTGGAGACTACCTAGAGTTTCTGTCAGCCAATCAAAGCTCTATTATTAGAGTATCTATTAGACAGACTAGAATCTCTGTATGACTCTAGGCAGGTGACTCAATCTTTGGAGAGGCTGCATCCATCTTGAGGCTTTATGCTAAATCCTTACTTGCTGGTGATATAAGCCTGGGGTAATTTACTAACTTCCTCATGCTCTTCTTTCTGCATCTGTAAATAATAACCCATGCTCCATAAAGCTGTGGTAAAGATTCAATTCAATATGTCAACTTACTTTACATACTGGCAACAGCATGTGGAGCACAGCAAGCCATCCACATGCCCTGCTGGTCCTGGAGACGATTCCTTCTATCCCGCAGAGCAGTAACAAGGCCAGAAAGACTCCACCGAAGATGCCCTGTATAGTACTTCAGTGTGTGGCAGCCATTAGGATCACAAACCTTTTGTTTTTATTTTATTATTATTCTTTTTAAAAATTAAGTAGCTGGGGTTTCAATTGTACAAGTCAAGAGTACAGTGCATGGTGACTAATGTCATTATCCCTGCCACCCCTGGGCCTGGTGCCTCTGGAAAGAAAAGATGTATCGGCAACCTCCTGGCCAGTCTCAGAACAAAGGAACAGGACTATATGTCGGCTAGAGTCCAATCCTTCTTTCCACCCACCTCTCCCCACCATTTGGGATAGCTTACATCTCTGTCAGCTACACTCAGCAGTAGAAGGCATCAGGTGATGGATAAGCAGTCATTGCTTTCTGTCTGGTCCCCAGTGGGCTGCCGGTCATCCTCCTCTGCTCCCTCCTAGTCTTGCTGAGCACCTGCTTAGGTCCTGACACCTTCTACTCAGATTCTCAGTATAGGCGACGTTCCTGCCTGAGTAAGTTTCTGAACTCCCTTCGGCTTCTACTTTTATATCGGTGTAATGGGAGTAACATTTACTTTGTAGAGCATTTGTTGTGGGTTGCATCCCCAGTCAGGTGACCGACATACCACAGGTTCTACATCATTGCTAGTGTCCTTGCTTCCCAACTGGAAAAAGGGTTTTCTATCTCTTTGTTGTGAGAACAACAAAGCCTACCTGGAGCTCAGTAAATATTTCATCAGAGTAAACAAGTGAACTGAACAGCTCCTTTATGACCTAAGAACTAGAAATGCCAATTGCTGAAGGCAACTGGAAAATGAGGGGCTTGAGATTCTAAGCCTCTCTTGCTGCAAAAGCAGGTGAACTGCAGGGGCCCCGACATCACTGGGAAGCCTAGCTTAGGGTATTTTAGGAGCCATTTGTCCTAACTTTAACCAAATGGGTGATGGGTTGACACCTGAGCCTGTTGAATGCAGGACCAAGCTTGGTGATGCCATGAACTAAGTTTGTGATGGCCAGCGGCACTTTGTATTTGTTATGGGAGTGACTCAAACAGTTTGAGCAACTTCTGCCTTTGAGAAAACTCTCCACCTTTTCTGTGTCTGTGATCTTCATTTTGGCCTTGCCATCTGGTCTGAAGAACCAGCTCCTCCCATTGGGATGCAGGCAGACATGACGCAAACCTGAAGTCTGTTCTGAGCATTAGCTGTCAGCCTCCAGAGCTTTGCTCCTCATCTAGCATGAGACCTTTTGAGTCAACCCGTTTTAAATTTTAAACTCATTTAAATGACACACAGTCCCCAGCCTGTCCCTCTGGCAGGCAGCCCACATTACAGCAATTGATTGTCACCCTACAGCTGCCACTGTCCTGGGCGGGGTGGTCTAAATATCGCCTGGAGCCTGCCTGTGTCTTCTCTCATGTTTAGTCCTGGGCAGACAGTTCGGTGCTATCTCCAAAATAACCTGTTCTCTGGGGCTTGTCAGACCTGGCGGTGCCTTTTACGAGAAATACTAAAAATACCTCCTTCCAAATCAGGAGAGATCGCATTTGTTGGGTTCAAAGGGGCCCTCCTCTGCTCTGTGCCAAAATGCAGATGGACCCAAATTGGAGAGATGGTCATTCCCATGAGATGAACGGGATGTTGGAGCTTCCTGGTGATGTGGGATCAACGTAACGATGTGTGATAGACAAGTTGCTTCCCGGCAGGGCCGGGTCACAGGGAGGGAAGCGAGCTGCCTGTGGCCCAGGTTGAGGGCTTTCCTTCGGTACCACTAGCCTTGGGCTTAGCCTTGCCCAGGCCCCAAAGAGGCCACTCTACATGGGTGTGTTTGGAAATCTCCCCTACTCAGAGAGGCCCCAGAACTGGTTGGTTCTGGAACCAAAGCTTAGACCTAGTACCTTGACATTCAGAGCTAGGACTTGTTCTGAGCTAGTTAGAGAGACTGAAAGAGCTCATTATATGTCAACTCCTTTTAAAGTGAAGATTCTGAAGACTTTAGATAAGACATTTATGTAACACAGTATATGCCTTTATTATATGACTTACTTCATTGCTTTTAGATAACTGAGAGATTTTTCTGCTTCTGGAATTGCATTCTGCCATTAAGGAGGATAGCTGACCTTCTCTGTCTGTATCTCCAACACCCAGTTCCCATTGTGCTCGTTTTCATATACGAAGTGCCGTCAGCTTAGATGGCCTTTTGGTTCTCTTGTCAGTCTGGCTCAATTTTTACTGTTCCTATAAGAGGAAATTTCCAGGAAAGCCTTCCTGTGCTTGACAGAGCAGGGGATCCACCTGTGCCCCAGACCCGTCCACATATCTGTCACCAATTCCACTGGGTGGCTAATGCTGCTTTCCCCCCTTTGGCCCCCTGTAGTATATGGGTTGTGAGTTCATTGGAGCTGGGGACACTGCCTTGTCTATTGTTAATCCTCTAGAGAGCATGGCATCTGCAGAGCCCGTGCTTAGTTAGCAAAGGCGTATGTCAGAGAAAGAGTCCATGAATGTGGAGCTGTCGATGGACAGCTGCTCAGGCTCTGAGCGTCCCTCCCCCCTTCCCCCCCATGGCGAGGGGGGTGGGGTCCTTTGCAGTCACACTTCACGGGGTGACCATGTGCGTGTTTTCTCATCTGTCTGTTTCCTCTTCCCTTTCTCAGATGTGCTGTGCCCCAGCATCCGGGTAGAAGGAGATCGATTTAAGCACACCAATGGAGAAACCAAGGAAATCACAGGTAGGAGAGACAACATGGCCACACAGGTTTGATCTTGGGTGCTACTTACTGGACCTGCGTGTGACCCTAGTCAACCCAGGAGAGGACTTGCTGACCGCATCCTCATTCTTGTCTGTTACTGAAGTTTGGAGAGAGGTCTGGAATGTAAAGATGCCGGCAGTGTGTCTAACAGTGACAAGTATTCACCATTTTCCACTTGGCAGGCTGGGAGCATCTTGTCAGATTCACTTCCTATCATGTTCAAGAGAGTGCATTGTGCAATGGTTAGCAAGTCCTTGAGCAAACAACTGGCAAAGTGAGGGGAAGATTGAATAACTGAAGGCACTTAGGAAAGAGGTGGGGAACGAATCAGTGTAATAAGTATAAGAGGGAGCCAGTGGGTGAGAGGACCGAGAGACAGCTGACTGCAGATTGGGCAGCAGAGAGAGCCACAGCAGAGGCTTGTCACAGTCCGTCTCTGCAGATGACAGAGCAGCCCTGTGGGGCGCCCAGACCCCGGCATCCTGACAGTGCTGAGCGCTGACTGTCATTCCTGTGGCCAGACTTCCTACCCAGCACTTTGATTTGATTTGCGTGGATTTGAAGCAGTTTCCTCTCTTCCTTGCCACTCAGTATCGAAACCTGCCTCTTCTCACCCATGTTCTCAGCTCAGGGAACTTGTCTCCCTCCTCTCTTGTCCTCAGTCCAAATCTCGGTTGGCAGCCAGTTTTGTGAAGTCAGATTAACTTCTGGGCAGGTGCTGCCAGTGCCATGCCCCCTTCCCCGGGGCTCTGCCAATAGCAGCATTGCCCTCTAGACTTCAAGATGCAGCATCTGCGTCTTTGAACCCGAGGAAGAGGCTTCTGTGTCTGTGCTGCAGAGCAGGCAGGATGTGCCAGGGGAGCTGGTACTCCTCAGAGCAGTGTTCAGTCAGACACTTGGTGTGGAGTGCTCCCTGCTCCATGGCTCCTGTGTGGGTTTGTGCTTATGTCCATGTGGGGAAGTGTCTGGAGGCAGAGCTGGACTAGCAGGTCTGGGCTGGATAGATTGAATGGCACTGTATCTGAGAGCATGGATTGCCAGGGCAAGTCAAACTCCCTGGTGATTTTATACCCTGGACAGAATGGCCCAGCTATAAATGCGCTCATTTCAGGGTACCTGAGCAAGCAAAATGAAGAGATGAAAATTTGCCCTTAGCTTGTAGATTGGACAAAAAAAAAGTGACCGCGACAGTGCTTTGCTGAGCCTTAATGGCTCAGCACACGTCCCTCCAGGGAGAAGAGACGAGTGGAATGTGCTACTGAGACGTGAGTTGCATGTACACCGTATGGTTAGTTCAGGGTCATCCGTAGATCCAGCCAACATCATCCTCTCTTCAGAAATTCTTCTGGGTATTCTGAGACCTGCAATTATTGTTGACTTCAGGCGCTAAGCAAAAACAAAAAAAATATAGAATGAATATAGCAAGGACATGGACAAGGGGAAACTCTTACCCACTGGTGGTGGGGATGCACACCAGTAAAACATTATGGAAAACAGTATGGAGGTTCCTAAAAGAAACAAAAGCAAGGGTTACCATACGGCCCAGCGACACCTCTCCTGAGGATGAACCAGAGGAAAGGAAGTTGTGCTGGAGGAGGCAGCAGCAGCAGGCACTCAGGTTGGATTCAGTGCCTTTCTTCCCAGAGTGGCCATTTAGTGAAGGAGTGATGATATTCAGGTGAACTGTCCTCACCTTGTAAAGACACAGGAGCCCTCAGGCTGACTGGGGATGGACACAGTGCTCTGAGCACAGGACTCTTGCGGGGTGAGGGGTGTGAACACAGAGGTGTCTGTGTGTGAACAGGGTCTGCATGTGGTCAGCTGACTCAGGCTGTGGTGAGCCCCCCCCCACCCCCAGGCTCGGCCGTTACCCAAGTGCTTCTTTATTGCACAACACCTTGCGTTGCAGTCCATTACCTCAGGAGTGTTCTTCATTTCCCTTCCCAGCTTTTTATTTATTTCAGGCCATTGGTCTTTTCCTCCGGGCGTACCCTTTGCTGCCACCTAGTTAATTGCTTGTTGTTTAAAGTTATGTCCTGCTCAAGTCTTTGGCTGTATTCGTTGAAGCCAATAAAAGTGGAATCATAAAGTAGACTTTTTAGGTTTTTTTTTTTCTCTTCAAATCCACCCACGTGCAGCTGCTAAGGGGGACATGTAGATGCAGGTGGCCTTGTCCACTTCAGCCAAGAAAGCTACAAGGCTGCTCAACAGGCCCCTTGTGGTTCTGGCTGCTCCCTCCTCACGGGGCCCTTGGGCTCAAGGCCTCCTCAGTGCTGGATGTGCTCTTTGGCTCTCACTGGCTCTGGCAGCCCCGTGCTTGGTCCTGGAGCCATGGCTCCGGCTCAGTTCACCCGTGAGTCTCCTGTCATCACTGGTCCTGTGGGGCCCGGTTTCAGGAGTCTGGGGGTCGCCTAGGAAGCCATTGCTGTGGCTCCTCTGGACAAGATCAGTGAGGGCTCTGGGTCAACACAGCAAGTCCCCTGAGCGGGGCTCAGGGGCTGGGAGCTGGGAGGTCTGGAAGCAGCGTCCTCTGCTCCTCTGGGATACCCCCACTCTCTCTCCCTGATGTCAACTGCAGCTCTTTCAGCTTGCACCTGCAGGACCTCCCAGGTCCCGGGGCCCCTGTGGAGGGCATTCCCTCATCCTTGAGCCACTGAGGACCAGGCCACCAGACAACCTGGGTGCCCCTGACCTGGGTGAGCCCCTCCAAAGCCCATTCCTATCTTTTAATTTTTCCTTCTCTGAGGAAAATCAGATCCCAGGCAGGGTCTGTGCCCTTGTCCCTCTGGGCGTCAGTTCCACGGGGACTAGAACTGCAAGGCCTCCGGGAACTTCTCCATCAGTGTCCTGATCCCCTTCTGCCATGTGCTCCACTCCCAGGGGTCCACAGGAACAGGACGAGGGTCCAGCCCACACAGCAGCCCTGAGACTCATCAGACCTCTTGTTGCATGGCACAGAGTTCATTCTGTAAACTGCTCCTGTCCCGGGCAGAAGCCAAGAGATGCTGGACATCTTTGCTTCTTCCCGTAGGTGGGGATGGGCTCACAGGCCTCAGGAAAGCAGGCTCAGACCCTCAAGTGGGCTGAGGGCTATATGCAGGCCTGAGTGCAGAGTCAGGGGCTGCCGGCTGTCGTTCAATAGGTGTCTCTTGTCACTGGCCTCTCCTTACGTTTGGGATCTCTTGGGGGCCTTCCAGGACTTACTCTCCCTAGGACAGGTGGCTGCTTCTTGCCAAGATTGATCCTTGGATCCTGGTCCTGTGTAGTCAGGGTGATGGCGGTGAGGCTCAGGAAGGAATGGCCTTGATGTGTCAGGGATTCTGCAGATGCCCAGGATGGTGCCAGGAAGAGCTCATGGTGTTGTCTGAGCAATTACTGGGTGCTGGCTTCCCTACCGGCACCGCAGGACATCCTCAGGGAATTGGCCCCTCTGTGTTTTCCAGTTAAGGAAACAGGTTCCACTGAGTCCAGTAAGTTCCGCACAGCCACTCAGCCTCAGGGTCTGTGGCTGGGGCTCAGTGAACAGTGCAGGTGCGCACAGCACATCAGCCTCTTTCCCAAGGTTAACACCCACATCATGAATGCACATTCTGCCTTCTTCCTGGCCCATCCCTCAACATGCTATGGGCAAACTGTGGAACAGAGGGGTTCTCTACTTTATGCAAACTGGTCATTCAGATTTACTATTGGGCAAGACAGTTCCTTTGGAAAACAGACTCTTTGTAGATATGTCCTTATTGGTGCTAAAAATGCAAAATGATGATCCTATTCCACCTGTTCTCCCAGCTTACAGATGGGGAAACTGCATCTAGGGAAAAAAGTGACTCAGCTCTGGTCTCAGCCATTCAAGGTCAGGGAGCCTCACCCAACTCCCTCATCACCAATGTTTATCCAGCTTGCTAGGGGATTGGAGGAGTGCTCATGCCGTCATTCATGATGGGTATCATTTAGATCATACGGTACTTAGTGAGCTAACACGAGGTTTCAGGCACAGTCCTGTGTGTTTTATCGGTTTAAGCTCAAAATGAGACATCCCGCATCACAAGCTCACAAGTCAGACTAATATTGCACCATCAGCCTCCAGAATGAGTAGTGGCTCTACAGAGCCATTCAGATTCTCCTAAGAACGTTGTAAAGGCCTCCCATGTGGGGAAGGACGCACTGGTGGTAGTAATGAACGATTACTTGTAACAGATCTGCTTGGTGGATCTTCTACAGCCTGCCGGGGTCTCCCGATCTCGGAAGGGCCTTATCCTTTAGGCTCCTGCTGGCTAAGGAACCTGCCATGCTTATCCAAATATGCCGCTGAGCAGGAGGCAATTCTCTTCCCCACCCCGCCACTCCCTCCAGGCCAAGGCCAAGCCGGGACCACTCCATTCCTTCCCATTCACAATGCTTCCTCAGTTCTCTTAGAAGGAAAGCCAAACCCAAACAAACCAAACCAAACACCTTCTGTGAATGCGATATTGTGAAGGCAGTCTTCTTGTCTCTCGTGTTTCTGTCAAATCATCCGATGTAAAAGCTGCCAGACTGCCACCCAAGCAGAATCCAAATGGAAAGGCAAAGCTGTGACTGTAGGAAGGAAAGCCCCACACTGTAATGTGCCCACGGAAGCCATCCAGGCGTTTGGGCCTCTGGAACACCGGGCTTCCCTAGCAGGAGGCGACCGGTGTGCCTTCCATTTGCCTCACGCTTGACTGTGAAACAGGATGCTCTTAACTCAGCTCACATTCCAGTGGGACAGCCTGCGTCTGCATCCTGCCTCAGTTTTTCCTTGGAATGTCACCTGAGACTCAGATCTGTGGCTTGTTTTCTCATGAGTGTGTGTTAGAGCAGTTTGCTCTGTTTCCAGTGGCAAGGGTAGGCAGACTGCCTGGTTTTGAAGAAAGAGGAGAGGGAGAGAGGAGAGAGAGAGAGAAAGGAGCTCTTCCTTTCTCTCCCACAGTCCCCTCTGTCAAACTCACTCCCAGCTCTTCTCTTTGCACAGGTTTTGACCTCATGGATTTGTTCAATGTGAAGGAGATCCTGGGGAAGAGAGAGGATGGAGCACAGAGTTCCTATGTCCGAATGGGATCCTTCCCCGTGGTGCAGAGGACTGAGTAAGTGCTCATTTCCCTTTCTGGATGCCTGGGCAAAGAGCAGGGAAGGGCCCAGTCAGCTGTATGCTGAGCACCAAGCACTGAGCACCAGTACTCAGGGGTGATCGGTGAGGTCACACCTCAATAAATTAACTCAGCCACCAACCTACAGAGTCAATCTGGTTCTTCATTCATTATCACTGACTTAATGGTTCTCTGGTCCCTTCACAGCCATTTATCTATATTTGGTAATAGTCATTCATCCATGCATTCTTCTGTTAGCTCATTAAATAACAAATATCCCTGGTAACAGAGACATAACACCTACTGTGGATCAGCCATTGCATTATACGACAGACACATACTTCTTAGGATCATGTACAGATTTGGCCAATGGAGACCCAATTTTGTTGTTTGAGTGCCTAGCTTGGCACGTTATTGAATGCCCCCATGTCTCCATTTCTCCTGATTCTGCCTAAGAGATGGACATTCCTGACCACCTTACTTTGAAAGCCTCATGGTTTGTGCGTCCATTGTCCTGTGTCTCCATTGTCTTCTAGAGCCTGTCTCTCACTGTCAGGCCTCTGCTGGCGCTCTTCTCCTTACCCGGGACACCTTCTCTGCTCCTTCAAGTTTAACCATTGTGCTCTGGAGCACATTCCTGCTGGGCTGCTAGACTGAGCTAGGCCCTCCCTTTATCCACTCTCCTCACGCCTGCATCTCTGCACAGAACAAGCCAACCTGGTGCACATCCAATCACCGTAGAGTTATACCTCTGCATTCAGCCTGCCCTGCTCTACTAAACTCTTGGTGGAGACTGTGTCATCATGTCTGCTGCAGCCTGAGTGCTGAGCTAAGTCGTTCCCCGCACAGGGGGTTGCTGGGCTTTGATGCGTGAATAAACCAGGCCACAATGAGTGAACTTTAAATGTGTTCAGGTTCTTGCTTGTGTTGTGTGTAGTGATTTCGCTTAGTGAGCATGGTCTGAATTCCACCCCTACACCAGGCCTGGCATGAATGGAGATGAGAAAAGGTGCTTCCTTCCCCTGGGCCTTGTTTCTCAGGTATCAGATGGAGGAGGTGATGCTCACTTCAGCTGTTTCCCAGACATGGAACACTTCCCTCGGCAGTAACACACGGATGCCAGGGGGATGCTCTCAGTACTCCCTGCTCCCACACGGGTTAAGGAGTACACACAGAGGGAAAGAACCAGGCTCCCCTCTCCTCTCCATCCTCCCCAGACAATTCCCCAGCCATACTGTTCAGAAGCAGAAAGAACAATATGCTAAACACAGGATATTGAGCAACATTACACAAATCTCTGAGGAAGAGCCTAGCGGAAGACCCTTTTCATTTTCTAGTAATGCCTCATTTTCATGAGATACTTGGATCAAACACTCACATGGCTGTAGGCTCTATTCTGTGGAACAGAGGATTGGATGCAGGCTGTGGGTTATGTATTTGGGTCCTATGATGTTCACATTTGTCCTGAGAAGGAATAGATTTTTTTTTCTATATGGCTTCCTGTTTGTTTTGGTGGCACAACTCCTGACAGGAAATCAAACCCACAAAGCTTTGATATTTTAGGAAAGAAGAGTTTTCCTTTAATGTCCGATGCTTTGAAATGTATATATTCATAGTTTAATTTCAATATTTGTGTCTTCCTTCTCACTTATTTACCATGTAAAAGACGTCTTACACATCTAATTTATTTCTCACTGCTGTAAACAGAAGTGAGCATGGCATTATTATCATTGATCTGGTGCAAGATCTGAGACTCCCAAAGGGGCAGTAGCTTGTCAAAACCTCCCAGCTTATAGGAATGAGAAAACTGGCCTCATCCTGAGGTCCTCTAACTCTCTAAACCACTGCCCTTTGCATGGTAGTCATACAATCTGCTGTATTACTTGTGGAAGGAGTATATCAGAGTGTTTTATTCCCTAATGCCCTCTCTTGCCAACCCCTTGATTATAATGATATTAGGTTGTGTGTGTGTGTGTGTGTGTGTGTGTGTGTTTGTGTGTGTGTGTGTTTACGTGTTTACTTTCCTATCTATCTATTACCTACCTGCTTATACCACTTTTGTTGGGGGTATAAATGTGTGTGTGTGTATCTGTGAATGTACCTTAAACATACAAGGAGAAAGTGCAGCCCAAAAGAAAACAGTCAGACTCACTAAGGAAAAGTGGAGAAAGAAAAGGAAGTGAAATGTCCCTCTGTGGCTAATGAGCCTGTGTCTGCAGACCTACATGAGGACAATTTGTCTTTTTCCACATGGACATGCTGGTCCTGAGAGAAGCCCTGGTGATCTAGGTTGGTGATAGGCTCTTCCTCCTGCCTGAATGCCTCCTGGGTGAATTCTCAGCTCAGACAATGATCCTGAATGACTGCACTACCTCCCACTTTGGATCCGAGTTCTGAGAATCAGGGAGGCTGATCTTTCCTCATATGTTTAGTGGTCAAAAGAAGGGTCCCTGAGGATCTGCAAATCTAAGAACCAGGAACGCAGATGCCTCCCTACTTCCCTTCCTGGATGTCTGGCCAGACAGATTCTTCTTCAATGGCAAAGTCAGTGTGCTATATGCTCCCAGAGGCAGCCCTCTTCCCAGACAATGCTTGGGGTTCGCCATGACCAGCTTCTGCAGAATGAACTCACAGTCAGCCGATTGATGCCTAAGGAAAGAGATATATGGAGATCAGACTCTTTGGGTGTGAACTCTGTCTTCCATGTTGCATTGAGTCTGGGTCCCCTCACCTATAAGGCAAGGATCGGAATACCTACTTTGTGCATTATTTCAATAAAGACATGAGACATACACCAAAACTTACTGTTGGCTTTGTATTAAACCCTTCAAATTTTCACTGAAGGATTCTTACATCAAATGAGATCATGTGAGTAACTTGTAGGTAACTTTAAGAGAGAATTAAACTAAGTTTGTTTTGCTAGGATGTGAGTCTAGCATAGGTCAGTGGTCTCAAACAGGAATTTTTTTTTCCCCATGTAAAATTCAGCAGTATCTGGGAGGCATTTTGGGTAGAAGGAATGCTACTGTCACCTTGAGGGAGGAGGCCAGGGTTACTGGGTATCCTACAAGATGCTGCTCATAGCAGTGTTGTCTAGGGAACCGGGCCTCTGCAGAAAGTGTGGTGAAAGTTTTTGGGAAGTCTGTGGTGCTGTGAGTGCCATGGTAGTGCTGAGAGACAGGAACTCATCAGCTTTCTTCACCGGAGACGTCATGAGGAAATGTGGGGAGGAGAAAGGGATTGGGGCCAGGTGGCCATGAGTTGAGCAAATGGGGAGAAGAAATGAGAGAGTGTATAGAAAGCGTTTTCTAGAACCCTATTGGTAAGGGGAGGGGAAGGGAGGTGGGACACAGCCAGGGATCCACAGAGGCTTTGCTCTGGCAGTGGATGGAGCTGGAAGGACGTGGGCTCGGAGGATGCGGTGGGAAGGCGTGGAGGCATCGAGCCTGGCTGGTCCAGGACTTGGCCCTCCATGGGGATGGGGGAAAAGGGCTGGGACTGGCTGGGGAGGAGCAGCAGGGAGTGGAGGATGCCCCCAGACAAGGGACTGGCTCTGCCTACCCCCTGAGGCCAGGGTCTGGCAGGGAGAGCAAAGTGTCCTATGGTTTGGCCCATTACGGCTGATATAACAAAGTTGATGTAACTGCAGCTTATTTATCCTGGCTCTGAGGTTGGGCGGCCTGAGGTTAGAACTCCACAGTCTTGGGCTTCTCAGGGTGAAATCAGGCAGTGGGCAGGGTGAGCAGCCTCTGTGGGCTCCACCCTCTAGACCTCATCTCTCTCCAAAAGAAAGCCCCACCCTCTAATCCCATCACCATAGGCTTTAGGATTTCAGCCCATAAATCTGTGGAGGGCATACCCATGAAGGCCGTAGCATCCTGGGACGAGGGACAGGGGGACAAAGCAGGGTGCAATATGGCAGGATGTCCTTGCTGAGAAGGAGCAGGGTGGGGAGGGGAAATCCAGGTGTCACCACTGTATTTCTTTTGGGGGGAGGAGGGAAGTGACTCCTTAACCTCTATTGCGGAAGTGACCCCTTAACCTCTATTGCTCCTGGTAGAGAGATGAGCAGATGAGCATGGCTGGGTGGATTTGAAGGAGCTGAGGAGGAAGCATTGGACAGGCCACAGGGGTGGCTGAGGCACTGACCTTAGGAAGAGGCACACGTGCAGGCCACGAGGCGGGCTGTGGAATTCTTTGGAAGGTCAAACCAGCAGGACTTGGTGGCTGAGCAATGGCTTCTGACACTCTAAGCCTGGGGTTTTCTGTCTCTCTTTTCCCCCAGGGATGTGTTTCCCCAAGGTCTTCCTGATGAGTACGCCTTCGTCACGACCTTCCGGTTCAGGAAAACATCTCGGAAAGAGGACTGGTACATCTGGCAGGTCATCGATCAGTATGGCATCCCACAGGTGTGTGAAGTACTGCCCTGCCTTGGAGTGGAGAGCCTGCCTCCTTCTCCCGGGAGATTGCATGGGTCACTTTGTTCTCAGTGGGGCTCAGATCCAGGCTGGAGCCTCACAGCTGTGCTGGAGAAAGTCACATAACCCCCAGGCCCAACTTGTTCTCCCAGTAATAAACCAAGACCAACCCTGAGCGAGGTGGACAGGAAGGGGACCTTGTTCCTGTGTTCAAGGACTCCCTGCTTAGCCGTGGAAGTGGCCTCTAACTCTACTGTCAAATGCCATTTGCTATGCTGGGAGCACAGGTGGCAGAACTTCATGATACAGGTCAAGTACCTGGGCCAAATCCTGCCCACATCCTTTCTTGGTATGGACCCTCAGACAGGGCTCTGAGACGTGGTTTTCTTAGGTGGAAAATGGAAAATATAGTATACTTACCATGATTGTTTGAGAAAATCAGATAATACATAAAAGCATCCATATGAGTGGCTGATATATATATGTGTGTGTGTATGTATGTATATAAATGTGTGTGTGTATATGTGTGTGTGCATCTATATATGGTCAGGAGTAAGTGTCTTCTTATCAATGGACGAGTTCTTCTGCTTACTCATGCGTGAAGCTCTGAGCTCCATCTTCCGCCACATCATGGGCTTCCAGTACCCACAAGGCAGAACAACATTTCAGTGGCACAACCCAGTGAGAAAGACACATCTTGGGATCAAAGTTGTATAGACACAGTCTTCTGGCTCGGGAGGAACGCAGCACTATTTCCCATGCTCCCCTAAATCCTCTTTTTGCTGAGTTCACAGGCCAACCATCTCTTTGTCCAGTCATGGAAAATGAACTGTGCATGGACGTTCCTCACCGTCAGTGAGGGGAGACTGTCTGCCTTTTAATGTGAGGATGAAATACATCAAAAGCATACTAGAATAAAATAGGACCAGCAGTCCTTGCTGCAGAGTTCTGTCTAAGAGAATCAGCTACTTACCCCAAACAAACAGGCTTGCTCGTCTTGGGTGAAAACCCACCCTGGCACCACACGCATTGCTCTCCAACATACATGTGCTCTGTGTATGACGCGGGTGATGGTAATGGGGTACATGACACATCTGGCCTTGCCGTGTTCTTGTCTTAGACCTGCAAGTAGGTTTTACTCTTTTTACCTAACAGGGGAGGAAACTGAGCCACGGACAGAATTGGGTATTTGAGTTTTCAGAGGTAGTAAGAGTGGGAATTGAGATTTGGACCTGGGTGGTTGAGCTTTCTGGCTGATTCTGTTAATCACCTGCTTAGCTGCTCTCTGTGATAGTCTGACCTGATCGGCTAGTTCCGGGGAATGACTTTTCTGCACCGTCTTGCATCACATCGGGACGTGGCAGGCTGAAGGAGAGGTTGAGATTCTTCTTCAGAGACCACCTTTCTGGAGCGTAGGCAGCTCATTGTGTGTCCTCCACCTCCAGTTGGATACACACTTGCTTCTCCATTTCTCAGGTCTGACAAGTGGGCCTGGGTTCTTGCCATGACATTCTTGTGGGGTGAGCCCACACCACCCCCTCAGTCTGGGTTCTCTTCTTTCATGACATTTGCAGAGCTGTGTGTGCTTCTCTGTCATGTCTTTATCTCCCCCCCTCTCCCCTACTTCTTCTGGAATGAGCTGTGGGTACAAATACCACAGAGCCATACCAGGTTGAGTCTGCTTTGGAAGAGCTGAGGCTCATGTTTGAAGAGACACCGGCTGGCTCACTTTCACTTGGTGGAGCTACTGATGGTGGTGCTTGTTTACCCAAGGAAATGCTAGGTCACCACAGGAGAATTGCATCTGGGCCCGCCGGAAGATGAGCTGCCTGCTGAAGGTGGTCAGCTGCTCTGCGGGCTCTCTGTGGTCACTGCCCGTCTGTCGACAGAGAGGTGTGTCCCCTTGATCACACGTGGCACTTAAAACTGCCCTTGAATGCTGGTATTTTATGCAGATGTCATTTGAGGAAACCCAGATAGGATGAACAGGAGAGAGGCTGGTACAGCTGGAATACTGTGTGTGTGTGTGTGTGTGTGTGTGTAAAGCCAAGTTTACAGAAAGCACTCAACATGAGTAGGAGTCAAAGGGCTATGGAGCCATGCAGACAAAGCCCTTAAAAGTTAGACTGTGAGGTCCAAGAGCAGACAGTAGCATTATTGTCAGGATAGAGGAGAGCTAACCCAGGGGGCAATGTGACCATGCTTTCATCCATCCATCCCTCCATCCATCCATCCATCCCTCCATCCATCCATTCATTCATTCAGGGAATCCTTAGCTTCTGGCCCCTGTGTGCACACACTGATGTAGTGTAGTATTCATCCCAGCCATTGTTGAATTTCTGGCAGGTAACGCATAGCTTGCCTGCCTCACACAGGACATTCTGTGAGTGTTGTGGAGGGTGAAAAAGTGAACATGCCGGGGCATTCTGAGAACATGTTCATTCACTCCTCAAAAGCAGTCACCAGTCAACCCTTCTCCAGGGCTTGCCTTTGCTAGAGACAACTGTGCACAAGGCTAGGAACACTCACCTTTCCCAGGCAGACCAGGCTCCTGACACAGGAGACACCCTGTCTTAGCAAGAGACCCACAGATGGGGTCTCGTGTTTGGATGTGCAGTCTGGCCAGGATATGCATTTGGTTTAGTCAGGCAGGGGTCTTTGGAGACCCTGGGACTAGTCAAGATTTCTACTAGGTCTCACCACCCAGCCCTTTTGCACTCATTGTCTGGGTCTCTTATCTGTATGGCCCCTTAAGGCAGGTGAATGTGGCATCCCTGGGTGGAGCGTGAATTTGATAGTAAATTTAGAGCAGCCTGGATAGTAGCTACTAATGTTCTCATATGGAGGAGGAAACCAAGGCTCAGAGCTGGACCTAACTGGCCTGAGTGACAGCTGTCCATCAACTAATGAGAGCCAGAAACCAGGACTGAGCCATCTTTGTTAAAGAAAAATCTCCTGTGAAGCTCGGGGCACACAGTAGGTGCTCAGCAGGCCCCTTCCCCGCAGGTCTCCATCCGGCTGGATGGTGAGAACAAGGCCGTGGAGTACAACGCTGTGGGGGCCTTCAAGGATGCCGTCAGGGTGGTCTTCCGGGGTCCCCAAGTCAATGACCTCTTTGATCGGGACTGGCACAAGATGGCTCTGAGCATCCAGGCCCAGAACGTTTCCCTGTACATCGACTGCGAGCTGGTGCAGACGCTGCCCATCGAGGAGAGGGAGAACATTGACATCCAGGGCAAGACGGTCATTGGCAAACGCCTGTACGACAGTGTGCCCATCGACGTGAGTACCGGAGGGCTCCTGCAACGGGGCCCGGCCATGGGGGCCCGGGAACCCAAAAGCTCTGAGGCCACCCGCCCACACGCCAGGGGTCAAGTCAGGACTGTAGGCCATCCTAGAAGGGAGGGCCTGGAATGAATGTTCATTCATTCATTCACTCACTCAGCCATTTCATCAACCCCCACTCTTGTCTGTTCACTTAGCTTGGCCACTGTCGGTAACCTTTGTGAGCTTCCCTGTGGGCAGGTGTGCACATGTGTTTCATACCACGGCCCTTAACTTTTGCATTTATGTGTTAATGGTTTTAAGTGTGAGAGGTGGTGGTATTATTCAGTGTGGGTTAGCCGCACATTCCAATCTCAGCATACTCAAACTGCTATGTGGAGATGTGCAAAGAAGCTGAAAAATAGGAACACAGTGAACCCCAGAGACCCCTGCCACACCTGCTCTGATGGCGACACGGAGGTGGGCAGGTGCGTCTGTGCCCGTGTCGGGGCTGGAGGCATGGTCCCTGCAGAATAGAAACAAGTGGAGTTTCATGCTTGCCCTGAGCCTGCCTGTGCTTAGGCTCCCTCCGGAAGCGGGGGTGGGGATGCAAGGACCATGGTTAGCTTCCCTGTGAGCTGCAGTATTGCAGCTGGAGGTGGGAAGCCTGAGGAGGAAGTAGGCCAGGCGACGGGGCGGGGCTTGTCTGATACCATGGAGGTTTCTGGTTCATAGTTCCTGAGACTCATCCTCTCTCCTCTTGTTCCTTCCTAGTTTGACTTGCAGCGGATTGTGATTTACTGTGACTCAAGACATGCAGAACTAGAGACGTGCTGTGATGTCCCATCTGGTCCGGTGAGCAAATCTGGACAGAGTAGGTGGGAGGAGGTTCATGGGGGGCTGTGGAGGGGCGTGTCCAGGATTTAGGAAGGGGCAGTTGGGATCAGAGGGGCACTGATCATCACAATGTGGTCTGTGGGCAGCCTTGTGACCATTTTGGGTTTTGATTGCAATTCCCACCGGGAATGGGTTGGGTATGTCAAGTTAAGCAGGTTTCCCCCAGGGGCTGCTGTGGTCTGGACTTTAGCTGACCCCAAAGCTGCCAGCAACATGACAAGGTCCAGCTTTGGGAAGCACAGGAGGTAGAAGCTGGAAGGTACTCTAAAGAAGGACTATCTTCTGTGCCCCCAGTGCTTGGAGAAGAGGAAGCTGCCTGAAGCTGCCTGGAGCTGGGTAGTGAGGTGAATGGTCAGAGGACAGTCAGCCCCAGAGACCCACACTGACCACTTGGGCTGTTCTGGGCAGGTCTTTTCCCTCTGAGATGGACCCACCTTCTCCTTTAGCCTTCTCCCTCCCCAACTCTCTCCTATATCCTAATGACAGGCTTGCTAGAAAGATGAGAATTGTAGCCAAGCCCGCTTCCCAGGGCTGAAGTGTGATGTCCAGGCTGAAGTGTGATGTCCATGCACAATGTTTGGCCCAGGATTGAGAACACAGCAAGAACTTAATCTCTGTCTAGTCTCAGCATGCTTGTGGCATGCAGGGTACAGCAAGTGCTAAAGATAGAGCTGGTATAGAGAGAGGGTGAGGGAAGAGAGGAGCCGTAGAGGATGAGAGAGAATACAAGGAAAGAAGGAAGGAAGGAAGGAGGGAAGGAAGGAAGGAAGGAAGGAAGGAAGGAAGGAGGGAGGGAGGGAGGGAGGAAGGGAGGGAAGGACTAAGGGAGGGAGTGTGTGATCCAAAGGAGAATCTACCAGGTGCAAAAAGCTGAGCTGTAATTCTCCTTGAGTTGTGTCATTATTAGCCTTCCCCCATGATTTTATGAAGGAAACATCCTGTCTGCATTCTGCATGGTGAATGCTGAGGCTCTTGCTGCTGCTGGGCAGCCTGGCCAGGTCTACCTTCTCTGTAGCCTCTGGAGAAGCAGAACCTGCAGTCAGATACACTCTTCCATATGCCCTTCCATATGCCTCCTTAGAGGCTTCTGAGTCTTACTTGTTTTCTGGGCCTGCCCTGTTTCTTCGAATCCCAAAGGATAAAGCCTCTTAACCAGACAGTGATTGCTAGATGTCCAGTCAGATACTGACCCGCTGGCCTTTCTCTGTCCAGTGCCAGGTGACGGTGGTGACTGAGCCTCCGCCTGTGCCCCCACAGCCGCCCACCCCTGGCAGCGAACAAATTGGATTCCTAAAGACCATCAACTGCTCCTGCCCAGCTGGAGAAAAGGTACCAGCCATAGGGTGCCCTCAGTTCCCAGTCTGCAGCCCCAGAGTGGGGAAGGGTTGGTCTGTCGGACTGCCTGACAGGGAGGCGGGAGTTTCCCATCATGCCCCTGGTCTGCCTGGGCAGGATCACCATAGGCTCACAGTGAGCTTAGGTCCAGCGCATCATTAGTGTTCGCTAGACCTTCCAATTCTTGAATCTTTGTGCACTCTGGAGAGGAGGTTCTCTGGCTTGGCTCTCCTTAACATTTTCCTGAGGTTAATAATGTATTCCTAAGGTTGTTCTGCTTCTACTTGTATCATTCTCCACTCTCATATGTCTAAGTCACACTAGACTTGGAGTACGAGTAGAGACTCAGAACAGAACAAAGGTGAAGGTCTAGATATACACTATAGAAACATACTCTTAACCCTTTCTCCCCCCAAATTTTTCCTTCCTTCCTTCCTTCCTTCTTTCCTTCCTTCTTTCCTTCCTTCCTTCCTTCCTTCTTTCCTTCCTTCCTTTTTTTCTTCTTCCTCCCTCCCTCCCCCACCCCCGTCTCTCATCTCACTACATTGACCTCTAATCTATCGCCCTTCTATTTCAGCCTCCAGAGTGTTGGATTCAGTTTCCTTCAATCATAGTCCATAATCTGGATACCCATACACACACTTGACATTTTATGTTTGTTTCTCATTTAAAAGTTACATTTCTGTGAATAGTACCACCATGATCTGCTGGACAGATGAAAGATCTCATCTCAGCCTGTGCCGGAGGCTGCTGTTAGCTTTTTCTGTAGTCCAGTGGTCATTGATAGGAAAAACATGCTTACTATTTGAGCATGAGGAACATAATCATATATCCCAGGCTCACGGAAGGAGAATGGGGGAGGGTACAGTTGTGGAAGGACTGGTGAGAATGTGGAAAGGTGTCACATTGATCATGGTACATTGTATTCATAGACTGCTTTGTTAAAGATACACTTTTTAAAAAGTACAAGGGGTAGAAACATGCTTTGGGACGTCCCTCTGGACTGATAACCCAAGAGCCCTCAACCCATGTGTTCCCATCTCAGCTCAAGAGGGCCAGACAGTGGGGGACATGCCACATACAGTAGGGGACATACCTCAGACAGTGGGGGACATGCCACAGACAGTGGGAGACATGCCACAGACAGTGGGAGACATACCTCAGACAGTGGGGGCATGCCACAGATAGTGGTTCTGCCTGGTCTAAGAACACACAGAACAGAAGGTAAAGAGATGTTTTTCAGCAACTGGAGTGCCTTCTTTCCTGCCTTCTGTGCTTCTGTTATTCTTCTCTGCCCACTATCCCCATGCCTTCCCTCCACCCTCCTTTCTTTTTGTTCTACCCAGAGTGTCAGACCCACAGGATATCTTCAGGAGCTTTTAGTCCAATGGAGTTGTCCAATGATGACCCAGTTTGCTGTAGGCCCAACCCAAAGCCAGGCCAGATGTGCCTTGATCTTGGGCTATGGCAGTATGAAGGTCAATATGAAGGGTCCCCCAGCCCGATGTCGGGATGTAGGGGGCAGAGGAAGGATCTGTGTGTGCGTGTGTGCATGTGTGTGCACACACAGGACAGGCAGAGGGTGCTTTCTCTTCCAGACAGCGGCTAATGTTGGCCTCCATCCACAGACTGGCTTCCTCCTGCATGCCAATGAAATCACAGCAGCAGCTGTCTAAACCCAAACCCTCTGAATGCTGTTTCCAGTTAGAACCCAGTGTGAAGGGCGATGCATAGGCGATTTTGATCTTCTACCATCCTGGGCACACAGGCTGGGAGTGCAGCCAAAACTAGCTTTGCCCTGGCCAGGGCTTCTCCTCAGAGCCAGGCCCAGGCCTGGGGGGAGTTGTGAAGGCTGCTGTGGTCACTGGCAGGGAACCTGGGGTCACAGGGCCTCCCCTCCCATCCAGCGCCCTGCCCTCCAGCTCATAAACACCGGGGCTGTCGGCTGACCTCCTTCGGATGGCCTGGAGGCACTCTCTGGAGTCTTCTCCATTCACCCGTGACCCACACTGGCCTCCCAGGTGCCTGTAGCCTCACCACATGCTTTTGCTCCCAATTCCAGGCCAGGTCAGAGCTCTCTGCTTCTCGGAGGGATTTTCTCAACTAAGGCCCTATCGTATGTCTGAAACCCCTTTCTTCTCCTTCTGCACCTTTACCTGGCTGATGCCTGCTTTTCTGACATGCCCAAGGAATCTTGCTGGGCCCAGTGTTCTCTGTGCACCCTTCCTTCCTTCCTTTCCCTTTCCCTCCTCCCACGCTCTCTTTTTTCCTTCCTTCCTTATATTATTTCCCACCATCCATTCTATACTTATTCCGCACCTGCTCTTTCCCAGGCACCATGAGTCCTTTGCCTCAGGACGCAAGCAGTGGCTCTACTACCTGGAAACTGTCTCCCTGTCTTTGCTTCTGTCAGACCCTATGTTTCCGATGGCAGAGACTGGATCTTTACATGTCTATTTTCGTGACTACCACAGAGCTGAGCACAGAGAAGACTGTTATTAAGTTATGATTGAATCAATGGATAAATGGATCAGGGTGGGAAAAGCATGGTGGGTGGGCCAGACAACAGACGGGGTGAAGGATAAAAGCATACATCCTCGGTTCCTGTTGACAGGACAAAGACCTGCTATTTAAGGTTGTCAATGTACACAGTCTAGGCACCACCACCCAATAAATCACTGCTGTAGGTAGTCCATCATTCCTCATTTCTGATTATAGACATTAGGCTTCCTCCTGTGTATATCGTACTTGGCTGCACACAGAGGCTTTGTGGCAAGTAGGATTTGACCCTTCAGGTCTTATAGTATGCTATCTGGTTGAGAAGTAGGAGCTCTGAATATGGCTCAACCCCAGGAGTGTACAGAAGAAAGGTAGCCGGTTCCCTCTACCTCTGAGAAAGAGCCACAGGGAGGAAACAGCTTCACAGCCTCTGGCAGGTGTTGGCTTCCTCTTCTACCTGTATGTCTATGAAGACACAAGGCCAGTAAGTCAGAGCCCTTCACTAGGAGGCCAAGCTCTGGCAGCAAGCAGACGTTTTCCAGTAGTTTAAATCTTCCATTCAGTTTGTGAGGCATTATCGTTATTTTACATAGTCAGCAGATGTTAGGTCCCTGTTTATATCTTTGTGATCAGCCCGTATGCTGGGCATGAGCAGTTGCAAGGCCTTCCGTTGGACGCCAGGAAAGGTCAAATTCACACAGGAGTATCTTCAATTTGCTTGTCCAATGGAAGCTGCAATGCATTTAAAAATATACAATCCAACTGGGCACCGGTGGTTCACACCTGTAGTCCTAGCTACTCAGAAGGCTGAGATCTGAGGATTGCGGTTCAAAGCCAACCCGGGCAGGAAAGTCCGTGAAACTCTTATCTCCAGTTAACCACCAGAAAAGTGGAAGTGGTGTTATGGCTCAACTGGTAGAGCACTTGCCTTGAGCTGAAGGGCTCAGGGACAGTGCCCAGGCCCTGAGTTCAAGCCCCATGACCAACAATAAATAAATAAATAAATAAATGCATATGTGTATGTGTGTGTGTGTGTGTATATATATATACATATATATATATACATATATATATACATATATATATATATATACATATATATATACATATATATATGTTTCTAGCCATTTGGGAAGGAGAGATAAGGGTCAGGGTTTGACAGTAGCCTGGACAAAAAAGACTCTATCTTGAAGAACAAGCTGCAAGTGGTACGATATGTTTAATAACCTCAGGTCTGTAGGAGGCAAAAGTCAGATTGTGGTTTGAATCTGGCTTGGAGACATATTGTGAGACCTGTGTAAAAATTAACTAAAAAGAAAAATAACTTAGAGGGTTTGTCTACCAAGCACGGGGCACTTGTTCAAATCTACCCTCTCTCCTGCCCTGGCACCCACATATAGTCCTGAAGTAGCTAAATGTGACCAGAGGGTAGACAGTTGTTCACTTTTTATTAATGGCCTGACATTTACACATACTGCATTTGTTTTCAGGATGCAGTATATATATAGCTACAACTTACAAATCATGGTTTTCAATCTAGTAACAAGATCTTTCACACATTTTTTTAATGGAATGGGTTTTGCATTTAGGAATTGCTTGTGGACATGCGATGCTTCGCCTTTCAGTGAATAATAAACACATGAACAGTTGCAGGCAATGTAATTTTCTTTTTAATTGAAGTGATGGCATATCCAGATAAAATATAGCCTTGGGAAGCATTCCTTTATTTATAATTGGCTACTGAAAAAGAATAATTGTCGAGTTTATGCTATAATCGTACATTCCACATGATGGAATGAATGAATCAAGTTAATGAACATATCCATTACCTTCAATACCTATCATATTCCTTATATCTAATTAAAACTGTACCCATTGGCCAATGTCTCCTCCCTTCCCTGCACCTGGCAGCCACTAGTAACTACCATTGTTCTCCCTGCTTCTGAGTATTTGAGTCTTTCAGCTTCCAAGTAGAAGTGAGAACATCAGTATTTGTCTTTCTGTGCCTACATGGAGGCCATGTTCAAACTCCTCACATGTAAGTTTTCAGTTCAAGGACAAGCTTATACTTTAGACTTAACATCCATATCTGAAAACACACACAGGGCCATGTGCATATATAATATATATATATATATAAAGTATTTCAATTAACCCCTTTGAACAATTACCTGACATGTTAACAAAATGAATACCAGAAAGCTGAAACATCTTTTGTCTGAAGGGGACTAAGGGGGAGGGGCAGATGAGGGGGAGAGGAAGGGTGGGCAAATAACAGTCGTCATACTTAATGTACAGATGTGAAAATGGAGCCAGGAGCCCTGAGGGGTGGGTGGAGTTGGGACAGGTGTGGGGGAATGATGAAAGGAGTGACATTGACCAAGATGCATTGAAACTCCTTTATACGATTGCTTAAACATAAAATATATATATTAACCGGAAAGAACAGGCTTTTGACCATGTTCTGATGGTTCATGCCTGTCACCCTAGCTACTCAGGAGGCTGAGATCCAGAGGCTTTCAGATTCCCATCTCCAGAATAACCAGCAGAAAGCTGGCCTGGAAGTATGGCTCAGATGCTCAGTGCTAACTGAGAAAGCTAGCTTACTGACCATGAGGCCTTGAGTTCAACCTCTCCCCCTGAAACTGGATGGGCGTTGGCTCTAGTCAGCCAGTTCCCTGTCTAACTTAACTGGCCAGCACTTGCTTTTTGAGACTGGCTTTAAACATGTGAAGTAAATAACCAGCTCCTGTTTGCAGATGGAGACCCTCAAAACAGAACTTCACTTGTTTCCTTTTGTTTCTCTTCCCACAGGGTGAAAAGGGCTTTGTTGGTCCTGTGGGGCTCCCTGGTCCGAAGGTCAGTATTGGCATGACACAGCTTTCTTTCAGAGCCTCAGGGTGCTCACTTGCTTTCTGTGGAAGGACAGTGGTACAAGAGACCACTCCTCTCTTCAGTGTTTTGCTTGGGAGCTTGTGTAGATGTGGATAAGAATACACAGTATAAAGTTTGAACATGTGTGTGTGTTGAAATGCTGAGGACATTTCTTGGCCTCAAAATTGCTACAAGAAAGGCAGAGGCCTGCCAGAGCCCAGGCTCTGAGCTTGGGTGTGCCAGAGGCTCACCCTCCACGGTCAGACAGTTCTACACCCATCCTTGCAAGCTGATGTGATCTTGAAACTTGGAAGGGTTGATCTGTAAGGTATTCTTATACATAAAACTTATGTCCTCGGTAATTGCGCAAAGTGAGGCCCCATCCTAAGTCATGAACATCCTTCCCTCCCCTCATAGGTCCCCCAAAGTGTCATATTCCCCCATCAAGCTCAGAAAAATGAAACTGGGAGTGAAAACTGTGTATCATCCCCAAGTAGAAGAATTCTGCTATTGCATGACCAACCATCTCCTGGTCTGGTGTTTCAAAGAGAGGCTAAGTGTAGCCATGGAGATACCTAGAGGTGCCCAGACCTCTCTTTTTTGGGGGGAGGGGGTCCAGTCATGGGGCCTGAACTTTGGGCCTGGGCGCTATCTCTCAGCTCTTCAGCTCAAGGCTAGTGCTCTACCACTTGAGCCACAGCACCACTTCCGACTTTTTTCTTTTTGCTTATGTGGTGCTGAGGGATCGAACCCAGGGCCTCATGTATGCAAGGCAAGTGCTCTACCACTGGGCCACCTTCCCAGCCCCCCAGACCTCTCATTTCCAGGCTTTTGTCTCCTTCCTTCTTTACACAGACTTGCCCAGCTCACCTCTCCCTCTCCTCACCTCTGCCTCCTACCTTTCTTAGTTTTGATTTCACCCAACGTATTCTTACATTGTAGCAGCGGAGGCCCAGGCGGCATGGGGTTCATACTAGAATTGGATGATATCCTCCGTTCCCTGAGTCTGTGCTTCTCCACTTCTGGGTGTAGAACAATGACTTCACCGCATAGTTGGCAAAGACCACATCTGCTACTTCTAGAGAATATGGAGAGGGGTGGCTGTGAGCAGCCTGAGAGCCAGCAACTCTGTCAGATGACCTAACCCCATGCTTGTCTTTGCTTCCAACCTCTCAGGGAGACACGGGAGCCACTGGGCTGACAGGAATGCCTGGTCCCAAGGGAGAGAAAGGGGACATGGTGAGTATAGTGCTGTTTCTGTCTGTGGCTGGAATATGTGGCTGGTATGGGGTGACGCAGAGCTCCTTCCTGGACCCCGCATCTGGACATGTCAATCACCAGGTGTGGTCCATAGTACAAGGGCCTGAGCCCACCCCCCTGTGGATTGAAGCCCCTCTCCTCTCCACAGGCAGGGGAAATCTGGACATGCCCTAGTGGCTCTCCAGCCTGTCCTTCCCTCTCCACTTCCCTAGCCCCAGAATTCTGTGCTTCCCAATGAGCCACATCGAGATTCCTGACATTGGGAATTGCAGGGAGGGGATATTCTCTTTGTATTCTTTACTGCCATGTCCTTCCCTCTACAAGGGCATTCTTTCCACCCATTCTGGTTTCCCTTCACTCCTTCTGTCTGATGGTGGACAAGGAAAGAATCACAGAGATGAATAGTTCATGGCTCCTGGAAGAGACTCCAGAGCCACACAGCCACAGAGTGTCTCCACTAAACGTTTTGCTCTTGGTCTCCTCGTCTGTGCAGGGGCAGGAAGTGAAGGGGAGGTCACTGTGTTGGGAGAATGAAGTGAGCTGGCCCATGCACATTGGTTCAGAGGAAGGGAGAGCGGGAAAACTTTGTTCTAGAATCAAAGAACAAACATGAGTATCCTTAGGAGCCCCGAGTCTGGGCCGTGGTCCATGGTGCTCTTGTCAGTGCTGCCTGCCCCGTGTTGATGGCAGTTCCATCCAGCAGGGGTGAGGAGGTGGCACTGGCTTCAGAGGGCCCACATTCAAATCTGGTTCCACCACCTACTTGTTCCATGAACTGAAGACGCTTCCAGAACTTTCTAAGCCTCATTTTCCATGCTTTCTAATAAGACCTATACAGGTCTTCTTCTGGACCCACTCCCAATAGAAGATCATCCCTGGAAATGCCAGCATGCTTCACCTATGTCCTTGGAGTCAGGTGCTGCATAGGCAGCTGCAGTCAGGAGATGGGGTCTCCCCTCGCCACCTCAACTCTCAAGGCAGAGCTTCTGCCTCAGATGGAACAAGACAGGGGTGTTGGGATCCGGAGGGAGCAGGCCTACACTGGAACATTCACGTGGAGACCACCACGGAGGCCACCATTCCTACCCAGTGAGGCACCCCTAAGAGAAGATTCTGTGGCTCTGGTTCCCAGCTCTACAGCAAGAACTCAGAGACTTAGTCCTTAAAAACAGAGAACTAGCTGGGAGCTGGGAGCTCATGCCTATATTCCTAGTTACTCAGGAGGCTAAGAAATGAAAGACCAGGGTTTAGAGCCCACCCAGGCAGAAAAAGTTCATGAGAATCTACCTACAAAATAACCAGCAAAAAAAGGGGCAGGGCTAGAGGTAGGGTTGAAGAGATAGAGCACCAGAGATGAACGGGTACAAGATCCTGAGTTCAAACCCCAGTACTTAACAACAGCAACAAAAGAACAGAAAACTCTGAATCTTTTCCTGGAAGGCACTGAATCTGAAAGAGAGAATTTGAGGAGGTACAAGTGTAAAAGGCTCTTTAAGAAGAAGGGGAATTGGAGGATCCGTGACCCCAAGAAGAGCAGTGGTTCTCTGAGACCACTGGACTGTGCCACAGCCTGGCTAGTGTACCATATTGACCCAGAAGAGTCCAAACTGGAACACCAGAGGCATGCCTCGGTGGTAGCCACAGCAACCCAGGAAAAGGGTAATTCAGTTGGACCCTGTCGCAGAAAAAGTGCAGTGAATCATTCTTTAAAAACAAAGCAGTTATCTGGGAATTCAAAGCACTTAGGAGCTGGACTAATGTCAGTAGAGACTGTCAGAAAGAGTCCCGTGAAGGCCACCAGCGTCACAGGGTGACTGTCAAGGCCACAGGCCCAGAGGAGTGGCAGTAAAGATGTCACACTGGTCAAGGGGATAGAATTCATTTATACCTAACACCTAGCCAAGTCAATAAACCAACCAACAAACCAGAAAACAGTCAATCCAACCCTAGAAGAGGAAGTGAATAATATCCAGAGTTCCTAATGTCTCAACAAATGAATGTTGAAACATGTACAGAAACAGGAAAATATGACATAGGGAGAAAATAAGCAGGCAAACAAAAGTATCTGTGAGTGGGAAGACGTGTTGGGGTTAGTGATCAAAGCCTTCAAATAATCCACATAACTGTGTTCAAGGAACAAGGGTGCAGTTCTCAGAAAAGTCAAAGCAGGTATGAAGATAACATGCTATACCATATCCATCCATAGAAAGGTGGAACTTCGAAATGAATGGAAATTTTGGGGTTTAAAATTAAATAACTGAAATGAAAAAAAAATCTCTAGAGAGGCTGGGCAGGAGATGTGGGCAGCACATGTCAATCACCAAGCATGTGAGCATGAACTATCCCGATGACAGTTTAGTAGAGCTTACGAGATCTGAAGAGCACAGAAGAAAGAAGAACAGAGACAAGCGAACAGAGTTACAAAATATTGGTCAAATGTGAACCAGTATGCACATCTGGTGAATTCAAAAAGGAGAGAGGGGAGAGCCGGAAGTAACAGGGCTGAAATCACACACTGAAAAGAAGTAATCTGTGCATTCAGGATATTCAATGAGCTTTAATTACGATTTACACGAAAAGCTACACACACACATAAACATCATAAATGTGCTGAAAGGCAAGTCGAATTAATAGCATCCAAGGAGAAGTAAAGATTCATCACGTACAAGGAAACAGTACAATAAACAACTGGCCACTCAGAAGAATTAATTGAGGCTAAAGTGCTGTGGAATAGGCTCAAACTAATCATGATAACAACATGGTAATTCAGCTGTCTGTGGCTCACACCTGTAACCTTAGCTAATCAAAGGCTGAGATCTGAGGATTGTGGTTCAAAGTCTGTGAGGCTTATGTCCAGTTAACCACCTAAAAGCTGGAAGTGCAACAGTGGCTAACGTGATATTGAGCCAGTCTTGAACTAAACAAGGACAGCACCCAGGCCCTGAGTTCAATCCCTATGCTGGTGCACGCGCGCGCACACACACACACACACACACACACACAGTTGGTGTTTAACAAATCTGCATGTAGTAGAATACAAAAGGGAGAGGTGAGGATACAGTAATAAGGAACATGGTTGTGTGTCTCATTGTTTTATGTTTCTAGAGTAAGTCTTGGTGAATTTAGATTTATATGATAAGCCATAGAGAATCTTCTAAGAAAATGAGTCTAGCTATCTAAAAAAAATAACATTAAAGAATGTAAAACGTTACTCTAGAAAGTACAGAGCGTGATGCGTTGCTGCTTAGAGCAGTAAACAGAAGGTCTAACACAGGCTTCGTCTGTCACTCTGGGAGACGATGCAGCTTCTGGGAGGAAAAGGCCTGGCAGTTCTCAGAAGTTTAAACGTGGAGTTAGCACAGGCTTCGCCGCTCAGTCTCACTCACAGGTATCCACTGAAAAGAAATACAAGCATGCACTCATGGAAAATCTACACACAGATGTTCACAGCAGCATTATTTGCAGCAGCGTAAAATAGATCCCACCTGAAGGCCATCACAGGAAGGATGGTTAAGCGATAAATAAAATGTGTGTTACTCTTCAAAAATAGGAAATTCAGACACGTACAGCAGCCTATGCGTGGACCTAACAAAAAAGCGGCTAAGTGAGGAGTCTACACGTTACTCCCTTCCCTTTGCATCATGGCGAGGTTAGGCAAGTCTTTGTAGGACAGAAATACATTGGGAGCTGTCCAGTTCTGGGAATGGGGAGAAGAGGGGAGCACATGTATTGGTATTGGTTCCTTCTGAAGTGAGTGAAATGTTCTAAAGTCAATTGTGGCATAGTTCTGCATATGTACTAAAAGCTCTTGACCTGGTATACGAATTATATCCTAATAAAGCCGTTAAAGGAAGCATAGTACCAATAGCGTTAAATTATTAGAAAGCAGTTCAATGAGATGACACTCACGAGAATCTTTACTCAATAAACGGTTATATCCCTTTCAGAGGCTCCAGGCAGGACTAATGAGAAAGAGCCCAGTTGTCTCTGTCCTGCAGTGATGCTGTGTCCTGATGATGCTGTCTAGTAAACCTTTGCCTTCTGCTTTGCCTTTTCTAGGGCAGAGGACCCTTTATCCAAGGAGAAAAGGGAGAAAAGGTAAGCACCTTCCCTTCACGCACTCCCCCAAGGGACAGGATGGGGGCTGGTGTCTGTGGGAGGCGCATGGCACCTTTGTACTGTCTGGAAAGACAGTACTAGTGGGGAGAGGCGCCCCTTTGCTGGGCTGTGGGCCCGGTCTCTGTGTGTGCTTCCATCTCAGATGCTTGAAGCTTATATAGAGACTGCAGGAAGAAAAGATGGAGACAGGAAGTGGTGGCTGGGAGAGGTGAGACCCATGTGATTGGGAGGTTAATGAGCTAGACTGTTGAGGGCAGTGGACAGCAGTGACACCCAGGAGTTGGAGGCTTTGGGTGTGATCTGAGTGGCCAGGCACGTGCAGGCTGTGGAGGTGAGCATGCTTCCGACAAAGGTGGTCAGTGATGATCAGGGCAGAAGGGGCCTGGTGGCACTGAGGGGCTAGAGAAGTAGTTTGGAGGACTGTCATGTAGAAATCAAATATCAAAACATACTGATAGGGGCCCTGCAAGATTCTGAGAGTATCCAAATGTGCCGAAGATGTTCAGAGGTTCCAGATAGAACTGAGAGGCGGCAGGCCAGAGAAATGTGGGAAAGAGTGAGGATACTTAAAGGGGAGGAGATGGGGAGGAAGGTGACCGAAGGGAGCTGGTGAGGGCAGCAGACCTGAGTGGGCAGAGAACTAGAGGAGAACTTGTGGGAGGTCTAAAACGTCTGCCCACCCTGTTCCCTGTCAGTGTGATGGGCACATCACAGCAATTCTGAGGGAAAGCAGGGCTTCTGAAGAGGAAATCCTTGAAGTGTTAGCCCGTGAGGAGACAAAGACAATAAAGAGCCGCCAAACATGCCATTTCCCACTTGTATCAGTTATTTGAAAATTAAATAATGGGGTGCTGGTGGTTCATGCCCATAATCCTAGCTACTCAGGAGACTGAGAGCTAAGGAGCCTGGAGCTGGTGATTCACAACTGTAATCCTAGCTAATTCAGGAAACTGAGATCTAAGGATCTTGGTTCAAAGCCTGCCTAGACAGGAAAGTCTGTGGAGCACTTATTTTCAGACCACCACCAAAAATCCAGAAGTTAAAATATAAGTGAAGTGGTAAAGCACCAACCTTCAGTGGAAAAGCTAGGAGAGAGTACCAAAACCTCCAGTTCAAACCTCAGTGCTGGCACGTGTGTGCATGCACGCACACGTGTGCACACGCATGCACACGTGTGTTTTCTAGAGGGGCAGCCTTTACGACAGTGTATGTGCACTTTAGTACTGACCCAGAGCTGCTGGCCCCTGGCTGGTGTTGCATCCACCTGGCATTGGGCTGATTGTATAGCCCAGGAATCACACTACAAAATGGCAGGAGAAGCAGCTCCATGTAGACAGCTCATTGTCACCCATGGGAACTTCCCCTAGGTTTGCTTCAAGGAGATGCTTGCAGATTCGCAGGAGCACATACCCACAAGGTCTTTCTCTGTGAGACCAGAAGCTTCGTATGAATAATTCATAAGTACAACCAGACACAGATAATGCTGTGCAGAGGACAAAGGGAGGAAAGGTTGTACAGCTAACCATGTGACAGCACCCGAGGTATGATATAGAATAACAACTCAGGTCCTGAGGAAAAAAAGAACAGATAGTACTCTGGCACATTTCAGTGACATTGCAAAATGAATATGCTTTCAACCCTGTGGTTGTCTGTGAGTAACAAAGCTCTGAGTGCATTTCTCCCTCACACTTCTTTTGTTCCATAATAACTTGGTCCTACTCCTCACCAAAAGCACAGACACTTGAGCACACAGTCTTCTCTAAGAATTTAAGGTGGTCTGAGAGGCTGCATGGTATCTAACATTATGGAGTTACAAAGCTGAGATGAGCTCATGGCTTCGTGCCATTGCTGTGTTCCAGTTTTTCTTTCTTCCTTTTTTTGGCGGGGGGTGGGGGGGAAAGTCAGCCATGGGGCCTGAACTCTGGGCCTGGGCGCTGTCCCTCAGCTCTTCAGCTCAAGGCTAGCGCTCTACCGCTTGAGCCACAGTGCCACTTCCGGCTTTTTCCGGCTTATGTGGTGCTAAGGAATCAAACTCAGGGCCTCATGCAAGGCAAGCACTTTACCACCGAGCCACCTTCCCAGCCCTGTGTTCCAGTTTTTAATTCCTTTTTCTTTTCTTTTTTTTTTCCCCTTGTGCTGGTTCTGGGTGCTTTCCCTAAGCTTTTGCTCAAGACTACTGTTTTAGCACTGGACCAACAGCTCCACTTTCAGTATTTTGGTGACTAATTAGAGATACAGACTTTCCTTGCCTGGACTGGCTTTGAATCCTTAGATCTCAGCTCCTTGAGTATCTAGGATTACAGATGTGAGACATGGGTATCTGGATTTGCATTTCTTTAAAAATTTGTAATTGTTAGTACGAAGGTGATCTACAGAGGGGTTACAGTTACATAAGTCAGATACATTTCTTTCCTCACTCACAGTTTTTCCCTCTTGTCCCCTGCATTCCTTTTTTATGAGCGTTGGCCTTCTGCTACCTAAATATGAGGCTCATAACCTCTAACTTTAATGATTTTCTGTGTGGTTTAGAACATAGCATCTGGGCCACAATACTCAAATTCAGTCACTGCTTTCTTTCTTAAAATACTTTTTGAGACTATAATGAAGATTATTTACCATGAGGGCTAGCCTCTCGACAAATACCAAGTGAACAATACAGTCTTGTTGCTTTCCTTCTGAGCACTTCCTTTCTACAGCAGCAATCAGAAAAAGATCCTAGAAGCCATTTGGTGCTCCTCTGTGTACTGGACAATGTGATTTGAACACATGTACCCCTGTCAATCCATAAGTTCAAGCCCCACCCTACAAAGGTGGGGTATGGGCTGGGAAGGTGGCTCAGTGGTAGAGCGCTTGTCTTGAGCTGAAGAGCTGAGAGACATTGCCCAGGTCCAGAGTTCAGGCCCCACAACTGACAAAAAAAGGTGGGGTGTTTGGGAGGTTATAGGTAGGTGCTGAGGAAGGAGATCTTGTAAGAAGTATCAGGGTCCTTGTAGAAGAGGCCCAACAGAGGCCCTCGCCCCTTCCACCCTGAGAAGCTATGAACCAGGAACTGGTGCTCACCACAACAGAATAGACCTATGCCTTGATTTTGACCTTGGACTTCCAGACTCCAGAACTGAGAGAAATACCTTTCCATTATTTATAAGCCCTGCATTTTAAGGTGTTGTATAACCATCCAATTGGACTAAAGCAAAGAGGTCTCTTGCAGAAGAGAAGACACAGCAGAGCAAGGAACAGGTTATACTTTTTAATTTGTTGAGTCTCTTGGAGAACAACAGACAGGGATGTGGGCTATAGCAGCCATGGTGCATTCATTGGCCACAGCTGCCAGTTTTGAATGTTACAGTGCCTCTGTCTGAAAAGTAATGGAAAAACACACACCATCAGCCCTTCACTGGCCTTTTGATACATTCCACATGATTCAGCTCAGGGGCATTGGCTCCTTAAGTCTCTGGGCAGAGGCTGGCTCTAAGCAGGAGCACCGAGCTGGGGCATGGCTGGACAGGGGCTGGGTGTATCTGATACAAGATATAAGACACCTTAGGGCTGACATCTCCACTCCTGGTCATTGTACCGGTCCTTCCTTGCTCTCCTGCAAAAAAAAAAAAAAAATCTAGGGATTCTTTGTATTCAAAAACCAGTTCCGCACACAATCTAATTATTGTACATAAAGACTGCATTGTACAACCTCTGGGCCATAAAATATATATTATATATTTGTGTTTCTATGTGTGAAACCGTTTACCTCTAGCTGTGGATTTTTAAAAAATTCACAGCTGGCTTAATCCATATTCCCATCTCCTTGTCTTGGCCTGTGCATGTAATTTGCACAATTCATGGTTGAATACCTTCTAGTTTTACAATAATTAAAGGATTTAGAGGAAATTACTTTAGCGGCTTACGTTCCTTGGAGAGCCTAGTAAACTGGAGGCAAAACAGAATACCTGTCCGTGGTGCTGAAGGGCGCTTGGAGAAGTTTGTTCAAGGATCTTACAGACAAACAGGAATCTCCTAGCTTTTTCCTCCAGCCCCTTTGAACACATGGAGGCTAGCAAGTGTTACAGACCAGTCATAAGACCAAAGGCTTCCTAGAAGAAGGGAGAACATTTATGGGAAGCGTTCATGCTGGATGACCTGAGAGGTGACCCGACACAAAGCGGGCCGATTCTAGATACACATTGGCTGGTCCAGACCTCAGCTCAGCCCCTTAGCTGCTGTACAACAGGGCTATAACTGAACCCTGGCTTCTCTGGTCTGTGACTTGGCAAATCTAATAGTATTCACATCAGAGTGTTGCTACAAGGATTAAATGAGCTAAGGAAAATATATGACTTATATTTGTAAAAGGCACTCATAAACCTGAAGTATAATTACCATTACACCATGTTGCGTTTTAATATGCCAAATGGTGTCTTCGGCGCCCTCAGAATTGATGAGGTCTTTCCCCAGGGCCAGCACCAGCTGCACACATCACAGCTCTTCTGCCCACCCTGAGGGGGACCCTTCCCACTCCCAAGACCTTAGGATGTCCAGGGTCTGCTCTTAGAAAAGATGTTCCAGGTGAGAAGGTACAGAGGTTCATTTATTTCCTCAATTCATGTAAAGTAACTCCCAGGGCACCTGTGAATAATAGTACTGAATAGTTGCAGGCTCTTGCTGCCTGCTGAGATTCTTGCACATGCTCTTTAGCTTTTGAGGGGGCCATCCCAGCCTCCATTTTGTAGCAACTGGGTCCAGGAACTGGTGATTTTGCCTTTCTACCTGGTAGAGTCAGGTATTTTCTGACAACCAGCATTTATTTGGAGTTCTTAAACATGAGCCAACACCCAATGACCCAGAGGATTTATTAAGTCAGATTCTCAGATTCCTTTCCCAAATTGTCCGGCTCAGCAGACTTGCCACATGCTAGAGATTTCGCACGCAGGGCTGCTGCTGGTCCATGGACCATCCAGAATGTTCCATAAACTCCACTCAGTTAACCTGCTGTGCCAGCTATCAAACCGAGGTGGCTTCTCTGGCAAGGAAGCAATCTCCTGATCAATACTTAGAAATAAGCCTTGACAGTTAACTGGGAGAGAAAGGAGTGTGTGCCCTTGAGGATCTCTTGACCAGTGAAATAAGGAGCAATATGAGCTCTGGGCTCTGACGGGGGTGGGGGGGTGGCAGGCAGGAGGTAGAGACATGGTGGGAAGAGGGAAGCCAAGGGTGGCAGGGAGATCAGAGCTGGGACTCTGCCTCAATTTGGACTTGACCAAGTTTGAATCCATCCTAACAGCCCACATGAAGTTGGAAAGCCCTGGTTTTCTTCTCCAGTGGACTCCATGACCACTGTCTATAATCATCACTTGCCCCAACAACCTGAGTGTCAATCCTTTTTATAATGGAACTATGGGAAGTTAGGAGTTTTCTCAAATGGGTAGTACTTTCGGCTGGTTTCAAGTGTCTCTGTGTTATACACATTTCCCTGGACTTAGCGACTTGGCCAATTCCCTTTGGCCAGAGGTGATATTCTTTCTTTATCCCCTCAGCAGAGGGTTGAAACTGATACTCGCACACTACTGCTGTGATAACAAAAATCCTGAGGCTGGGTAATTGACAGACAACAGGAATGTGTTGCTTAGAGTTCGGGAGACTTGTAAGTCTGCCGTGGAAGTGCCAAGAGATTTGGTATCTGGCGAGGGAGTTCTGCTTCATCGATGGTACATCATGGGTGTCCCCATATGCCAGAAGGGGCATTGCCTCATTTATATGTGCACTGATTCCCTTTCATCCTATTTGGTGACACTGGAATTTGAAACCAGAGCATTACACTGTAGGCAGGTGCTTTATTGTCTTGTCACAACTTCAGCCATGTTTTGCAATGGTTCTTTATGAGATCGAGTCTCACCTCCTGCCCAGGAATGTGTACACTCTGATCCACCTATTTCTACTTCCTACAAAAGCTTTAGTCAGGGAAAGATCTTGCAAATTTCTTTGTACAGTCTTACCCCAGATTGCAATCCTCCCTTACTTCAGCCTCCCAAGTGATTGGTATTATAGATATGAGCCACTGGCACTGAACAGACCTCAGTTCTTAATACTGTTGCACAAGGGATTAGGTTTTAATGGGAGAATCATGAGAGGGTGCACATTCACACCACAGTAGGGAGTTGGATTTGTGCACATCAGACCTTCCTCTCTTTACCTTCTTTTACACTTGTTAAAGAGTTTTTGAAATCTGAAGCTGGTGGCTCATACCTGTAATCTTAGCTACTTAGGAGGCTGAGATCTGAGGATTGTGGTTTGAAGCCAGCCAGGGCAGGAATGTCTATGAGAATCTTAGCTACGATAAACTACTTAGAAAAAGCTGAAAGTGGCACTGTGTCTCAAGTAGTAGAATGCTAGCCTTGAAAAAAAGAACCTCAGGGACAGCACCCAAGCCCAGAGCTGAAGCCCCAGGACTTGCAAAACAAAAAGTGTTTGGTACTTTATTACAGATCTTTACCTACATATTCCCTTCTCATGCCGGACCTTACAGTTTGGGGAGCAAACTCTAGCCCTTCCCAAAGCACTGTTTTTCACCTAGCCCATGAGGGCTGGGGTGGGGGTAGGGGATGTTTAGTTTTGTTTGTTTGAGATATAGTATCACTATGAGGCTCAGACTAGTACTGAATTTGGTGATATGCAGTCCAGGCTGGTTTTGAACTCATGATCCTTGTACCCAAGCCTCCCAGTGGTAGAATTATAGGTAAATGATACCACACTCAGCTTAGGGGGCACAAAAATCAGCCATCACACAGAAACATAAAGTGTATTTGTCCATCTCAGTGTTCTCCAGGTTATCTTAACCATATTCAACAGAATTCAGAAAGACTTACTGTACTTTCTGACCTGGAACACATTCATATCTAAAGAGGCCTCCATTCAGATCTTTAAGAACCAGTACTATGGTAGGCCACATGTCCAAGTGGGTATGGCTGGATCTATATGTCAGTTTTATAAAAGCCAGGCTCCTGAATTGTGCCCAGATCCTGGAGATGGATGCTATCTGCAGGGAGATGAAGAAGTCTGAGTATTCTGCTAGCCTGACCAAAGTTATAAGAAGAGAATTTGAATCTAACTTGTTGACTTCTCTATACCATTGTCTGTCTACCATACCTGCTATTCAATTTGTTTCTGGAGCTTCACATTCCACGAATAACTCTCAAGCAAAAGAATCATCCGTGGCCTTTCCTTACAAGCCCATCGGGCCATTGAAAGCATTGAAATCCCCACAGCATCCATGGGGACCTGCAGCAAGGCAGGTGCTGGTCACGTGATCTTGATTCTTCACTCCCCAGAGTTCCTGCCCCAAGATTCATGTAGCCACTGGACACTATGAACCAGCGGGCCAGAGAGGTCACTGTTGTGTGGAAAGCCCAGGGTTCTGGAACCCTGCAGGAGTTCTCTCTGGCATTGTCTCAGGCTTCTCCCCATGCTCCCTTTATTAGGCAGGCCGTGAGCCACGGTGCCCTGCTGTCCCCACATTTACGGGAGGCTCGGGCCCACCAGGACCTCCCTTCCCTGTGCACAGCTGCAGGATTTCCAAACCTGCCAGAGCCAGAAGACACACTGGCCCGAAGGACCCCCTCTTTTAAGTGGGTAGCCAACATGCTGGGTCACTCTACACTGAGTCCCCGGAGGCCTGGTTATGGGGGAGTGCCATTTAGAACATCTGCCCAGAGGAGATCCATGAACCTTTGTGATCCTCACTTTTGGAAAACCTTGAATTGAGGGTCACAGGGACGTGGAGTTCGTGAGTTTGGTGTCTTGCCAACCAGAGTCACCCCCATTTGTTTTAGTCGATGTTGAAGGGGTGGTGTGTGGAACATGGGCCACTAACCAGGCCCTCAGCAGAGTTTACAAGCAGTCGCTTTTGAATGTAAGACTTCAAGAACTCTCACGGCCAAGGAGCCTGACCCTCTGTGTCCAGCGTCTCCGCCCAGCACTGTCTCCACTGCCACAGCATCTTGAGCACCTACCCCAGTGTCAGCCTCTTCTCTAACCAGTGACTGTTTTCTTTGTCTCCTAGGGTTCCCGGGGACTGCCTGGGCCCCCGGGGAGAGACGGCAGTAAAGGCGTGAGAGTAAGTTCTGTTCATAGCCCAACGCAGCACGGGGCCGGCATCGAGAGGTACAGCCCAGGGTCCTCCAGGGCGGGGTTATGGCCATCGTCAGGCCTGGGCTGGGGCTCATTTGTACCAGGCATGCTGAGGACATTCTGACTGGCCTCATGGTTCCAACCATACCAGCAGCAGGTGCCGCCCCGGGTCCTGTGTCTGCATCCTGGAAGCAGTCTTTTCCACCTGGTGGATAAGCAGCTCCGAGTGAGAGTCTTGTTATTTCCAATGCCTCTGCTGGAGCCAAGCCTTAATGAGGGGAGGATTTGGCAAGGGCCCCAGTTCGTAGCTAGAGGAGTTACAGCGAGATTCATACACACACACCACCACCACTCCCCACCCCCCAGCCTGCTTTCCTCTGGTCCCAGACTCCCAGCTGCCCCTGGGCTATGGCATGCTCCAGGATCATCCCCAAGCGCGTGATGACAAACAGTAGATTGGTCTTTCCTGTGGGAAAAGAGATATTGTCCACCCATGGAAATGGGCCTGGTGTCTGCACCCCTCTACCCCTTCTCCTGTCACACAGAGCGGAGATCGGCTGCACAAGCCGCCCACAGCAGGTCAGGAGAGAAGAGGAGGCTCTCCATGCAGGCCTGACTCCCCACCGGCTCCCCCTGCTGTGGTGGCAGAGGGCAGCCGGCACGGAAGCTCCCCGATTTCTAGACTTAGTCAATTTTCCAAATGCAGCTTTGTTGACCTCCAGTGTGGGGAAATGGGGAATCGACGGCCCATGACTGTGTGCTTGTTTCTGTGTGCAGGGGGAGTCGGGAGAGCTGGGTGAGCCGGGGCTGCCTGGAGAAGTGGGCATGCGGGTAAGTGTCACTCAAGCTGCGTTCTGCGCAGGCGTATGGACAGGGAGCTGGGCGGAGTGGGGGGGGGCAGGTGCTGTGCGCGTGGACAGAGTGCTCGGGCTTCCCTCTCCTCCTCGTACAGCTATACCTCCCCTCTCCACCTCCTACTATTGCTCCTACATTCTTATAAAAAAACAAACAAACCCTGTTTGGTCCTTTATCCTCTCCATGTATCTTTACCTGGTAGGGAACCAGTCTACCCATTGCCTTGACTTAAACCACTGTGTTCCTTGAGGTGGGCAGCCTCACAGTTTATACAGCCTTTTCCCTCTCCCTCTAGCCTTCAAGTTATTTTGTAATTCTGTTTTCTACTAAAATCAGTAGAGTGGTAAAGCATGCAAGTGCAGGTGTGCACGTGTTTATCCTTATGTAAGGGTTTTATTATTATTATTATAGTTAGCTTACAAAAGTTAGGATATCCTGGGCTGAGGAAGTGCACATTTTTATTTTAGCAGGTTTTCTTTTTTTCAGTCCTAGGGTTTGAACTCAGGCCCTGGGTGCTGTCCCTGAGCTTTTGTGCTCAAGGCACGTACTCTGCCACTTGAGCCACAGTTCCATTTCTGGCTCTGTGTGTGTATGTGTGTGTGTGTTTAATTCAAAGTTTCCTGCCAGAGCTGCCTTTGAACTGTGATCCTCAGATCTCAGCCTCCTCAGTAGCTAGGATGACAGGCGTGAGCCATGGGTGCCTGGGAACTCCATGCGGTGCCTTTTGATAGATGATGCTCATGGTGGTTGGCTAATGCTTTGGGAATTTATGGAACAGGTGGTGAGGGCTTCTCCAGATGTCGCCAACTCCTCCACACTCTGTTGGGACTGAAACCTGACAGGTGTAGGGATCAGAACTCAGCATTAGAAGCTGTGAATGTGCCCAGGCCTGGCCATGGGGAGACCCAAGGGCATGGGACACTGGGGGTCAAAATGGGCTCAGGTCACACATGCAGTTGTTCTTTGCAGTCCAGCACTTCCGGGTTACATTGCAGCTTCCTGCCGAGCAGAAGCTGGCATAATGTCCCCTGGGCATGGAAACGGAGGAGGGGGCTGAGGACGGTCTACCTGGGAGGCCTTGTTCAGGTGCCATGAGCACTGAGCAGCGTGGGATGCATGAATCTCCCCACTAAACATGGCGGGTGCTGAGCAGCTCTGTCTTCTCTGTCCATCCCTTGCAGGGGCCCCAAGGACCACCTGGGCTTCCAGGGCCTCCCGGGCACGTCGGAGCTCCGGTAAGTGAAGGCAGATTGTCTGGGAAAGCTTCTGTCCCATTCTGCAGGAGTCAAGAGCCAGGCTTTCTAGTTAGATCCTCATGGTGCATCTGGAGATGAATGAAGTGTTGGTCTCTTTCTCTCAGACCAGAAATTCTTCAATGCTGTGGCACCAAAGTATCTCCTCAGTTCACATTTGCTAGATAATAAAACTGGGCAGAGCTCAGGAGTTTGTGACAACTGGCCTAAAGAAGCCATTTGTGTTGGGCATCAGTGGCTCACACCTGTAATCCTAGCTAGTCAGGAGGCTGAGATCTGAAGATCAAGGTTCAAAGCCAGCCTGGGCAGGAAAGTCTATGAGATTCTTATCTCCGGGTAACTACCAGAAAACCGGAAGTGGCTCTATGGCTCAAGTGGTAGAGCTCTAGCCTTGAGCTGAAGAGCTGATGGACAGTGCCCAAGTCCAGAGTTCAAGACCCAGGACTGACCATTAAAAAAAAAGAGCCATTTGCTTCTGCCCTCCGGAAGTGAGGAAGGATCCTCTGGCTTTCTAGCCCATAAGACCAGTGTCAGATACATGATAAATGCTGAGTATCCCGTAGATGAAGGGCCAAAGAATAGACCATGGCTTATAATGGGCACACTGCCTTCTGGGTAGTAATCCTAGGCTTGATTTTCATTAAGAAACATGTGAGATTTATCACTGAATCAAAGAAGCTGTGTAAATAGCCATTTTTCAGTGATATTGAGGACCTGGTGAATTGAGACCAGGAGAACAGTTCCACCTTCAGGGACTGGGCAGGAGGAGAGATGCTGGCTTCCGTGAGGTGTTAGTAAGGCCCACAGAGGGAGACAATGTCTCCACCACACCCTTGAGCACCTGGGCCGGACCCTGCCGGTGGTTTGCGCCCAGGCCCTCAGGGAGCATGTGCAGGCCACACCGGGACTTGTGTCACAGCTTTGTCTCCTCCCCAGGGCCTCCAGGGAGAACGAGGAGAAAGGGGAACCCGAGGAGAAAAGGTATTTGCAGTCTTCCTCTGCCCATCCGGACCACTTCCTGCAAAGGGGGGGGGGGGGTGCCACGTGTGCGTGCGTGCGTGCATGAGTGTACACTCGTGCAGACACATAAACACAGCTCCACAAGAAGGCTGGGGTCTCGTCGCCATTTCCGCCCAGGCAGAGTGCAGCGAGTATGGTCAGAGCCACAGATCCTGTTATCCTATGGGTGTGAATGCCGTGGGAGGCTGCGCCCACCTCTCAGCCCGGCCTTCCGCAGCCTTGAGACCAGAGGCCAAGAGCTCAGACAACCAGGACCCAACTTCCTGCCTGCGCTAGGCCCAGGCACCTTGTTGCCCTCCCCCCGTGCTG